TTTGGAGAGGATAGGATTTATTTGGCATACATTTCCATATCACTTTTCATCACTGCATGAAGTCAGCACAGGAACTCAAGCAGGGCAGGAACCTGGAGTGGGCTGGGTCCTCCCCCATCCATCACTAATTAAGAAAATGCCCGACAGCTGGATCTAATGAAGGTATTTTCTCAATTGAGATTCCCCTTTTTCAGATGACTCTAGCCTTTGTCAAGGTGACATGAAACTAGCCAGCGTACCCTGGATCAGTGCTTGTTCAGCCATCATCAGAGAAGCTACCTCCTACAGTAGATGGAAACTAATACAAAGATCTGTAACTGGACAGTGTGCAAAGGGGGAGAGACTTTAGAACACTCAGTCCTACCTGTCTTCATTTCATCCCTCCCACCAGGGCTCAGGGAGCTCTGCAGAAGAGGAGGCTGAAAGGTTGTAAAAGCCAGAGGGGGTGGATGGCACCAAGGAAACAGTATCTTCCAGACACAACAAAACTGACTCACAGATGAACTCACAGAGACGGTGGCAGCAGCCACAGGGCCTGCCAGGTTCCAGACAGAAGATACCAGAGCTTAGAGGGAGAAGTAGTATGATCTCCCATTCCTAACTAATAAGAAGCTATCTCCAGTTAACAACCACTTGCAATGAAAAAACAAAACAAAACAAAACAGTTTTCTACAATGGAGTCTCACTGGGTATATAAACCACACTTGAGGGCAGGCCGCATGCCAAGCAGAAGATGGCCAACACAAAATTAACTCAGTGTTGTTTTTTTTTTTTTCCTTCGGTAATTTTTGGGTTTTGTTTGTTTGTTTGTTTGTTTGTTTGTAGTTTTTTTTTGTTTGATTGGTTTGGTTTTGGGTTGTTTGTCTCATGCTGCTTTGTTTGGGCTTTTTTATTTTTAATCTTACTGGTCTTTGGCTTGTATGTAATGTTATGATTTCTAATTTAATGTTTATATGGTTTTTGTATGTGTTTCTTGTGCTTTTTATCTTTTTATTATCATTATTCTAGTTTGTTTGCTTTTTTATGTGCTCATTTGTTTGCTAGAGAGAGAAAGAAGATGTGGAGTTGGGTGGGTGGAGAGGATCTGGGAGAAGATGGGGAGGGAAAACTGATCAGAATAAAAAAGAAAATGAAGGAGTTGTTAAATTTAACATGATAGCAAAGATTAATGTCTAGAATAAATTAAAAAAGTGAAGTGGCTGAGAAGGTAAAGTGCCTGCCAGTCTCAGTGCAAAGATCTGGGCTCAGAGTCCTAGAACACACATAAGTAAAGAGCTGGGCATGGTGGTGAGAGCCTGCAAATATCCTCCTACCCCACACTGCTTGGGAGTGGAATCCCTGGAGAAGCTCGTTGGCCAGCCAGTGTAGCCGAATCGTTGAACTTCAGTAGCGTTCAGGAGCTTTTTGAGACTCTCCTAGAAAATCGAGATGGAGAGATCAAGAAAACACACTGCACATCGACCTTTGGCCTTGACCTGCATGTGCTTGCATGCCTGCACACAGGGCTGCATCCACACCAACAAGCACACGTTGCCACACACACACAAGGTGATGTGTTTGGTTAAAACGAGCCCTAGGTCATCTAAAGAAAGAGGAATGCCATTGGTAAATGAACATGTTAAACAGTGCATAACCTTGCCATAATTTAACACAGTGCACATGAAACTCACGGTGAATACCATTTCACATATGCCAGAATGTCAAAAATTAAAACTCTGATAATACCAAAAATTGGGAGGAGTAACATGAATTGCCACGTATGGAATCTTTTAGAAATGTAAATTGGCACAGTTACTTTGAACATAGTTTGTCATTACCTAATAAAGTTGAGCATAAGAATTCCATTCCTAGGTTTGAGCTAAAGAGGAGTTGTACATCTGTACCAGGAAATAAAGAGGTTATTTGCCATAGCAAAGATATAGAGAGGAAAGACTGCTAGGAGCTTAAGTGTTCGTAAGATGGACCAGTATGTTGACATGAAATTGGAATAAGTATAACTAACCATCACCTCGGAGCAATGCTAAACCAGACTAGGAAGTCAATTTTAGGAAGACTTATTTATATAAGGTGTAATAAAAGTGTAAAACAAGAACTGTTGGGGATTTGTACATGCAAACTCTAGAGAGCAAGAGAGTCATTGACAGTTCAGTAGACCGGCTTCTTCTGGGGAAAGATGGAACTGAGGTGACTGAGGTGCTTAGTGTGCTTGCGGGCATTCATTTTATTCTTGAAGAGCGTGAACCTTAGCTTTTCCTCCGGGACAAGTAAAGTAGTGAACTAGAGTGAACTGTTTGTATGTGACGTTCTCCGGGTCTGTAGACTCGGGTGGCGGGTGACATGACACTCCGCACCAAGCCCTCACTTCTTCTTGTGCATAAGAATGTTTTAACAGGGTGATTTTGAATTTCTGGATCATTTTGGGATACTTTAGGGAATTAAGAGAGAGAACGGTTAAAATAATCATAGTCTTTATATGTGTAAATTTTTATAGAAACAATTATGGGCTGAGAAATTGTCTTTACTATATATTATTTTTAATAGGTGATATTAATGCACACTTAAAAATGTTTATTGGGTATCCAAACATTGAAAAATAGTAAAAGCTAAATTATTAGCTGTGTTTGCGTGTGTATGTGCGTATAACACTGGAAATTGAACCTAGGGTCTCACACACAGCCAGTATACTATCACACTATCACTGAGGCACATCTCTAGTCTTCCGTGTGTGTGCGTGTGCGTGTGTGTGTGTGTGTGTGTGTGTGTGTGTGTGTGTGTGTGTTTAAACCTATGAGATAATCTCACTAAGTTGTCTGGCTTGCTTTGAACACATCCTGTTAGTCCACCAAGTAGGCCTTCAACTCTTATCCACTGTGTGAGCCTCCTCAATGGCGGACGTTACAGGCTTGTACCGACAGTCCCAGCTAACAAAATTATTCTTTATAGATACTTATAAACCCTTATCAATCTGTCACCCTTAGCTGTCTCAGATAGTCCTGTTAATGGTATTTTTGTGAAGGGAATGTGAAAGTTCTGGGAACTTAACAGAAATGCAAATTATGGGTGCTCACCGGCCCCATGCTTCTACTTGATTAGTCAGTCAAGAAATCGGGGCTGGGCTCTGGAATCTGATCTAGACAAGGGTGGCTGCTTTCTCATACACTCAAGCTAGAGAACTTGAAGAGAGATCTCTGTAACTCAATGTTAGGGCATTTGTGTAGCATTCACAGGCCCTGGGCAGACTGTTAAAAAATAAATGAAACAAAACAGTGACCCTAAAGTTGGAAGTACAAAGTGGGTGTTGCTTAATGCTAATCTGCTTTAAAAAAAAAATAAAAATAAAATAAAAATAAAAAACAATCCATGGCACACACCTATATCTCCGCATATGGGGGGCTAAAGCAGGAGGGTGTCCCACTTGTGCTCCATGAAAAGGAAAAGAAAAAAAAAAGGTCCAGAATAAGTGCTAGCCCAGAGAGTTGCCATTAAACAAGTGAACGCCAAGCCTGTCTCGGCAGGTACACGAAACACCTGCAATGGAACATCTGCAGAAATGAATTCTGCCCATCTGCTTATCATCAGACCAAACTGGTTGCTAGTAAAATTAGTGGCTGTCAGGCTCTTGGGGTGAACCTTACTTTCTATACGTGAGACGAAAAGTTCTTTAATGAGTTTGCAGTTAAAACATTAAGCTGGGGACTCCTAGAAGAAAACATAGCAAAGAATTCAGATTAGATCCTGACGAACTGTTTCACCGCTAAGAAAACCTTAGGCTAATCATTAATCCTAGCGCCATCTCTTATCCCCACATGAATGTTTTATGTACTTGATTGCCTGCGCCTCATTTTTGTCGTGTCAAGTTTTCAGTGTTCTCTCCTATAGAGTAGTCCTGTTGTATGTGAGGGGTAGCTGCTGCAGCTAACCTTATTGTTAGTGTAAGCCACACTGAAAATGAGGAGCCTTCCCTGTAGTCAGGCCTTCTTGGCCATCCATCCTACCAACTACTAGGTGACACGTCCCCGTGTCCTTTAAGAATTTTAATGATATATGTCCAGAATGCCTTTTTGTTTTTGTTATTGTTGTTTAAAAAAATATTTTCAGCTGGATATAGTAGCATACACGTCTGTTTCTAGCATTCAGGAGGCCAAGGCAGAGGGCTCATCTTGAATGCAAGGCTAAGTTGGTCCATGGAGTTAGTTTCTGATTAGCCTGAGCAATATTGTGATACCTTGTCTTTGAAAAAATAAAGAAAACAAAACTTAAGTAAACAACCTAATAATAGCAAAATAACATTTTCCTTTTAAAATATGTCTTTCAGAGATTCCCTTGTTCTTATTTTACGTGTACCTGTAAGTTCCTGCATGTGTGTATGTTCTCTAGCTCATGTGTGCCAGTACTCTTGGAGGCCAGAAGAGTGTCAGATCCTCTGGACTGAGTGAAAGGCAATTTTGAACACTCCATGTGGATGCTGGAAACTGACCACAAACCCTTTGCAAGAAGTATTCTTAACTGCTGAGCCATCTCTCCAGCTCCTAAAATAATCCTTTTGAAAAAACATTTTTAAAAATTTTCCCAGAGGCAAGGGACTACTCCTTCCTGTGAGACACACATTGCTATGTTCTTATGTTGACATTGTTATCAGACTGCTCTCCTAAATAGTTTGTAGTAAAACAAATGTTCTCCATTACAATAATTTGACATCACTAATAGAAATTTATTTTGCCAAAAAAGTTTATTTTTATTTTGCCACTAAAATTCAGTCATCAAAAATGCTACATTCTGTCAAGTAACTGTTTTAACAATTTTCATCTTCACTTTCTTTTTCCCACTTGATTATTTTTCTACAAAGACAAAACGGTGAAGGCATGAATGATCTGTAGGTAAGAGCAGCATATGATCTACTCGAAAACCTTTGATAAGTGGACACAGCATTTCCCTTTTCCTGGTAACAGATGCAAACAGATAAGACTTATTTTTTAAAATGGTTCTCTTTCTCTCCATAGGGCTAAGAAGTGGTGGAAATCGCGTGGCTTCCTACACTGCAAGCCATGGCCCTGCCATTCCGGAAGGACTTAGGGGAGTATAAGGACCTGGATGAGGATGAGCTCCTTGGCAACCTGTCAGAAACAGAGCTGAAACAGCTCGAAACTGTCCTGGATGATCTGGACCCTGAGGTTGGTGCTGACCCAAGAAGAGAACGTGGTAGCCTCTCAGACTGTTGAACTCAGTAGCTGCCTTTTGCCAGCTTGCCTTCTCATGGCTTTTCCCTGTACCCTTCATCTTCTTTCCATCCAAATGAACTGGCATTTTGCTTCTTCTCTAAGTCCCTACACCTACCTCCACATCTTATGACACAGACATTCTAAACTATCATTAAACATCTACACAATTTTTTTTCCTCCACTACAAACTTTCCTTTGTGCAATTGAAAGCAGTAATAGCTAATTAACTCTTTAATTTATAGCTAATCTATTTCTCTTCAGAGTTTCTATACCAGGCTGGCACCGATATACTGTGCCTTTAGAGTGTTATTAATAGTCTAAATTTAATTATAACAGTACTTGAGGGAGGCTGGCCAAATGGTATAAATTATTAGCATCGGTAGAACAGATCTAAGGGGCAGATCTGAATACAGATATTTCTTAACAATGGTCTGTCTATGTCTCTGATAAACCCATCCTAAGTTGCAAATATTAGGCACTGAAATGCATTTAATACACCTAGCCTAGATAGCTTTGCCTGGCCTACCTTAAATGTGCTCAGAACACTTAAATAAGCCTACTTTTGAACAAAGTCATCTAGTGTAGAGCCTAGTTTGTAATGAAGTATTGAATACCTCTTGTAAGTTGTGTGCTGTACTGAAAATGAGAACAAAAATGGTTGTGTAGGTGTGCTTTTACAGCATCTTATTGAACCATTGTTAAGTCGAGGACAGTGTAGATGTATACTTGTCTTAATTTGCCAAGTGGTTGTTACTTGTCTCATAGGCTATACAAGGCGCATGCAGAACCCTTTAACCTTTGCAATGTGACTTGAGGAGCAGATAGCAGGGAAGACTCTCAAAGTAGTGGTTGTTTGCAAAGCTTTACCATGTTTCTTAAAAACCCACTTTTTGTTTTATATACCTTTAAGAATTGAGGTGTTGTGAGCTTTTAGGGAGAGGAAAGGTATGAGAAGTAAATTCAGGGCCTCAAGCATGCTAAAAATGTGCTTTATAAAATTATTCTTGTTACTAGGTGATATGTCTATGCCATAGGTCAAGTCCTTTGACCATAATTACTATTACAAGGAAAACTTTCCATACCTAAGTCTGACGGATTACTCAAGATAACAGAGCTGTCAACAGTATTTTTGGCAGTCAGTCAATGAGACCAATTTACAATTTAAATCAAATGGTTTAAGAACTAGAAAGAATGTAAGAGACTGTCTAGCCTGGGGTTTTCGACCTGGGCAATGACTGTTGTGAGGGGCTATCCTGGGCATTACGGAATGTTTAATAGTACCTTGCCTCTGTAGATGTCAGGCTGTGAAAATCCAAGGAGAGAAAACATTTTGCAGTGGACATTTTGTACACATTGTCAACATCCACATGGCCATGCCTGTGTCAGCAACACACATTCACTCAAAACCGCACTCACTAGAACTCCTATACTCCCTACACTCAGGCTTCTGCCCTACACTGAGCTCCATTCCCCAGCTCTAGAATCTTTATTCGGTAAATGTGTAGGGGACAACCTGCAGTTCTTAGTCAGTGTACTACACTTAGGAAATGCAAGAGTGAACAAAACAAATGTCATGTTACGTCAGGCTGTAGGAATGGGGAAAACTAGGCTGAATCAGATAATAAAAGTGTGCCCAAAAAATGATGAGTGCTGCAGACTGTAACACTGATGAACAAGACAGCATTTATCAGTTCCCTGGGGGCAGGGCTGGAGTCTTAAGAATGAGTAACTAGAAAGGATGGACAGGATGGTCCAGGGAAGTGATCTCCGTGTTTCACATATTTAAAGGTCTTGTGGTTGAAGGAAGTGTATGGCAAGAACAAGGAACGAAGTAATCCAGTGTATTTAGAATGGAGATGTGAATCAGGGTTTTTGGTTTTGGTTTTGTTTTTAAAGACAAGATCTCCTAGAACTTCTGCTCGGATGTGGCCCGTGGTAGCTCAGTAACCAAGTAGTTTTCCAAAGTAAGGGGAACACGGACTATTTCTAACAGGATCTCAAGGGCAGGCTGTTTGATACCCCCCCCCCAGGGGAGGAGCAGTCTGTTAGGCCACAGAGGAGGACTTTGCAGCCAGCCCTGAAGATACCTGATAAAACAGGGTCAAATGAAAGGGGAGGAGGTCCTCCCCTATCAGTGGACTTGGAAAGGGGCAGGGAGGAGACCAGGGAGGGAGTGTGGGGTTGGGGAGGGAATGAGGGAGCGGGATACAGCTGGGACACAGAGTTAACAAATTGTAACTAAAAAGAAAAATAAAATTAAAAAAAAAAAAAAAAAAAAAAGACAAGATCTCTCTAACCCAGGCTGTCCTGGCTGTGAACTTCCGATCCTCCTGCTCCACCACCACATGCTGAGATATCGGGCGTGCACTCCCATGTCAGTTGAGACTGACTCAACAAGCAGGATGGTGCACACTTTGTCGTGTCACCCGGTTATTCCTGGCCTTAATACAAATTCAGAATCCTGACTTCAGGGACGACTTCAACCATTCTTCCCTTTCTAGTCAGTCCGTGCACTCACGGCTGTGCTGTGTGTGCACCAGGGGACCCGGCTCTTCTGTATCTCAGGGTGCTGTGGGGCATGCATAACAAATGCAGTACTTGTTACCAGCATGCGCCGATGCTCATGGGTAAACGTGCACACATACACAGGGAACGGTTTTGTACTAGATTTCAATCAAATAGTCTTGAGGTTGTACTGTTCATGTTTTTATTTTGGTAAAGACTGTGATCAGATGGAAGTCATTATGAAAGGATAACATAGAGTAGTTTGCAATTCTTTTGTGATAGAAATTGTTTATGTACGCATTTACTGGTCAGTCATTAAGCATTAAGAAAGTTGTTGTTATTTGGACATTAAACTTAGTATCCTTCTGCTTTAGCTTCCTGAGTTCTTAACAGTCCTTGGAGAAAAATGAAAACATCAACTCAAGTGTAGATATCAGCATAAATTTAAAAACCATCCCTGGAAAAATAATAATTTGTGGATACTTAAAAATTAAAGGGTGTCGCTAAACCAAATGACTCATTCCTATAATCCCAGTACTTGGAAGGATTCAGCAAGAAGGATCATGCCAAGTTGGTGGCCAGCATGGTCTACATTGTAAGTTCCAAGCCAGACATGGTGATATATCAAGAGCCTGATAAAAAAAAAAAAAAAAAATCTCAAAATGCTAATGGATGTTTCCTGCTAGTGGGATACTATCTGAAGAAAATGTGTAGGTGCCTATTTTTAATAATAATGTGAGTTCTACCTACTTAAAAAAATAAACTAGCTGCTGGGCAGTGGTGACACATCTTTTAATCCCAACACTCAGGAGACAGAGGCAGGTGAATCTCTTTTGAGTTCGAGGCCAGCCTGGTCTATATAGTGAGTTTCAGGACAGCTAGAGCTACACAGAGAAACCCTGGCTCAAGAACAAAAAAGACTTGTGGGTCCATAAGATGGCTCAGCAGTAACAGCAGTTACCAGTAAGTAACTGTGCACCTTAACATTTTGACCTATGTAAGATCCCAATGGAAGGAGGGAACCAACTCCCAATAGTTGTCTTCTGATCTCTACATTCATGCCATGGCACAGGCATTCCCCCACACCCAAAATCAGGAAATCAGTGTTTAAATTAGAAAAAAAAAAGCAACTTTTTGTAATACATCTCATATGACTATCCTAAAATCCAGCAAGGAGATGTTCACTGCCTGTATCACGCTAGTTTCTTTATCTTTCTTACATGGAAAATTCATAGAAGCATGTAGTGTTGCCATTCTTGGTGGTTTGGTCATCATAAAATGGCTGACTCATTCTCTTTGGCAGAATGCCCTTCTGCCTGCAGGGTTCCGCCAGAAGAACCAGACATCCAAGTCTGCCACGGGACCCTTTGATAGAGAGCGTCTCCTTTCTTACCTAGAGAAGGAAGCATTGGAGCACAAAGACCGGGAAGACTACGTGCCCTACACTGGAGAGAAAAAAGGTAAGGCCAGAAGTGTAAGTTGTCATTCAGCGGCTTCGGGTTGTTTTTATAATGGATGCCCACGAGAAAACTGTTTTTAGACGTACATAGTCAGCGGCCTTTAAAGGTGCAGTGCTGGTGACCCGAAAGTTTGCTAGGTAGTTTAGACACTTCAGTTATATGTTTATCAACTTATCCAGTGAGGTTTTTTTCCAAATCATTCATTAGTGAAGTTTTATTACACAGAGACTTTGTACAGTACTTCACACTGCACATTGTTGAAGCAAATTTAAAGTCCACCAGTTTATTATAGAGTGCAAGTGACAGCAAAGCAGTGTTCTCTCCGAGCTCTTCAAAGTGACAGTCCATAAAATAATTGATACTCTTTGAAGGCACCCTTCCTTAGTTGTCTTCATTAATACACATAGTTTTGCTTGCCAATGTTTTCTATCATGAGTTGGAAGAAATTTTTCTAATCTTAACTCTTTAATATTATAGTATCTAATTCATTCATTCACTTACATTTGAGCACTGCTTTATCTTCCTTAATCAGTAAATAAGAACAAACAACACATGAAGTGAAGACGTGCCTTAGATTGAACTTTACTTTCTAGAGTGAAAAAGTTGACTAGCTCAAGTTACAGCTCAAGAAGTAGCCGATAACACCAGTAACTTAGAAGTAGGAAGTGAGCTACTTCAAGAAACGGGAAAGCGGAGAACTGCAGACAGATAGATTTTTCCTTTAAAGCACCTCTAGCTAGAAAATCCTCCAAGATTGCTCAGCTTGTGTGCAGACTATATTATAGAAGTTACAGTGAAGGCTGGAGAGACAGTTCTGTGGTTAAAAGCATTTCCTGCTGTTCCAGACGACTTGTGTTCAGTTCCCAGCACCTGTGTTGTACAGCTCACAGCTGCCTGAGGCTCCAGCCCCAAAGGCTCCAGCACCCTCTTCTGGTCTCCGAGGGCATCTACACTCGATTGTGCATACCCCCCCATACTCATAATTAAAAAAAAAAAAAAAATCTTATAGAGGTAAAATCAGAGTACATAAAAGAGCCAAATGTATGAACATATAGGGTACAGTTATGTATATTAATTTGAGGATTTCCCTTTAAAAAGGTGTGTATGTGCTTGTATCTGTGTATGTTTTATGCACCCGTGTGTAAGGGTTCCAGTGAGGCCAGAGGAAGGGGTCGGGTAGCTGCAGTTGTGCGCTGCTCAGTACAGGTGCTGAGACTTGGGTCCTTTGGAAGAGCAGAAAGTGTTCCTAACCACTGCAACCATGTCTTGAACTTGCTTTTTTCTTATTCCACATTCACTCGTGTTTTCTGTCTCTGTGTGGATATGGGTGCACGAGTACATGTACATGTGGAGGTCAAGAGCATCTTGAGGAGTGGGTTCTCTTTCCGCTTGTGGATCCCAGGAATTAAGCTCAGGTCGCTAGACTTGGTGGAAAGCCTCTCTCCAGCCCATGAAAGCTATTTTTAAAATTACTCACCATCCTTCTAAGACAACTTTGAAGTCACCTAATAGGGAAGAATTGTAGCAGTGAGGCTTCTTATTGCTTTTTAGTTTTTGTTTTGTTGTTTGTTTTTTCACTAGGTGGGTGTCCTCAGTTATTCAAACATTATTTTGCTTAATGAATTTATAGGTGTGTACTAGTTGGCTTTACCTGCCCCAGTACTGGAGACCCAACCTCTGGCATATTTGCTTGTCAGTGTGATCCCTAGTAACCTCCCTCGGGAGGCCTCACCTAATTACCCACCCCGCCCTTAAGGCTTTAGTTACCTCAACACCTGTGTGCTGCGGGTGACATTTATACACCTCCAGGGCCAATCTTAAGTCTGCCTCTCCTTCCATTCCATTCTCCTGTAGGGCAATGCATCTCAGTTATCATCCACACTTGAGGTTAGGACAAAGAACAGGACCTACTTGAACAAGGAGCACTCGGCCATGGTCACTCCCAGACCTAGGCTTCGGCATACCGTCTGCTCTGGACTGCAAGAAGAGCCTGTGGTTGTGCTAGTCCAGACTGGCCTAGAACTAGCTGAAGTTGATCTAACACCCTTGTGATCCTCCTGCTTTAGCAGCCCGGAGTGCTGGGATTGCAGGAATGAGCCAACATGCCTAAGAATTTTGTATAAGTGCATTCTTTTTCTTGCAATGCTGGAGTTAAGCCCAAAACCTTGTGCATGATAAACAAAACATTTCTACCACGGAGCTACATCCCAACTCTTTAAGTGTATTTTTCATAGGCAGACCCACAGCATTCATCAGTTCATCTAACCTTTAGGAAAACTGTCATGATAGGAAATAATTTTGGCAGAAATTACTCCAGATGGCTTCTTTATAATTCTAAAAGTTTAAAAATTAAAATTATAAGTGTATATTTCCTTCACTTGTAGATATTACATTAAAATGTGAAAAAGACATGGGCTTTTTGCCTCTTTAAACTTTTGCAAATAGTAGTGGACATATATATAGCTCAGTTTTAAGAAACCCTGGGTTCACTCTCCAACACCGTGTAAACTGGGTGTGGTGGTGCAGTTTATAATCCTGGCACTGAGAAGAGGAAGCAAGAAGCCAGCCTGGGCTACATGGAACACACTCTCTCTCTCTCTCTTTCACACACACACACACACACACCACAAATAAATAAGTAAATTACAAAATAGGCAGCTGGGCATAGTCAAAGACAAGGATGAAGAAGAGTATTTAGCTAATCCTTTCTAAAAATCATGGGCATGCACAGTGCTGACTATGGCCAATCATTTCCTGTCATACTTCTGAATATCATCAGTGGTTTGTCTCAGTTAAATAAGGCACAGAGCTGTACCTGTGTATGAATTTGTCATGTGGAGAAATTGTGTGCTCAGCCTTTAGTACTTCTTACTGTCTTTCATGTTGCTTTGCTGTGAATTCTTCACCCTTTTGGTCATGCCATGCTTCATTGTTATCTGGACTGTTTGTTTTTTTTTCTGTCCATTATTTCAATACCATGACTGCAGTCTATTTGTTGCAGATAGGTGTGTTTCACTGGATTCTGTTTGAGCTGCTTACTCACCAGAGATGGGCCCCTCCCATCCCTTGGGAGGCACTCCTGTTTTTCCTACTAGTCCTTGGGGCGGAGACCTCTGTACTTTATTATTCCTGTCTGTTTTTCTTTCCAGCTCTGAGAATGTAATATTCTCTTGACTTCCTTCCCAAGAATCCCATATATTCCACCTTGCTTCCTAAAGGTGAACTAACTGGGTTGTCTTAAATGAATGGCTTCTTTGTTTTGTGTTTTGGTTTGGTTTGGTTTGGTGTTTTGTGTGTATGTGTGTGATTTGTTTTTTCAAGACAGGGTTTCTCTGTGTAGCCTTGGCTAAACTGGACTCATTTTGTAGACCAGGCTGGCCAGAGATCCACCTGCCTCTGCCTCTTGAGTGCTGAGATTACAGGTGTGTACCACTGTGCCCAGCTAGAGAATGGCTTCTTAAATACTTTTCAACTCACTGTAGTTGCCTCAGCTTTCTGGGAAACTCATTGTATTCTCCATTATTATAAAAAAGGCTTCCCACATCTTGTTGAGTATATGACTTCTTTGCTGAACAGTTGATTCTTGAGTAAATCAGAAAGATCATGTTTAGATGCCTTTACATCAGCAGGATCTAGGGTTTTGGTGGTGTCTGAAGTTCCATAGCAAGGGCTTAAATTCCTTTTATTACTTCTTTTGTTGCATTTGAGGGTAGGACTGTATCATCTCATACTTGTCCCAGAGATCATTTTTTCTAGTGTAGTAATTTTTTTTTTAATTAGCTACAGTGTAAAAAAAGTTTCAATTTTAAAAGTTCAGTCTTGCATTTTGTCAAATAAAGAAATTAAAGTCAGTCAAATAAAATATTGGCTACTAAAGAATACAGTAAGTAGATGTTTTCTTAGACATTGTGTTTTTCAAAAAAATACATGTATTGAAAGTTATCTCAAGAGCTACAGAGATGGGCTCAGTGGTTAAGAGCACTGGCTGCTCTTGGGTTCACAACCATGTATAACTCTACTCCCAGGGGATCTGATGCCCCCCTATGCCTTCCACAGGTGTTGCACACACATAACACATACATGCAGGCAAAACATTCATGCTTTATGTCCAGGATTTAAATTTTTTTAATTTAAAATTTTTAAATTTCAGTTTTCTTAAATTATGTGTATCTGTGTGTCAGTGTGCACATGAGTGCAGGTGTCCTAGGAGACCAGATTTGGGGACATTGAAAATTAGTGTAGTGCTCTTTGTGGTGGCCCATGCCCTCAATCCCCGCACTTAGGAGGCAGAGGCAAATGTTGGGAGTTCTAGGCCAGGTAGGGCAACATGGTGAGACCATGTCTCAAAAATGAAGTAATTGATTAAAATGACGTTCTGTTTACTACAAATCAATTCCTCCATAATATAAAGTTTATAGCCTAGTGTGGTCGTGCACGCCTTTAATCCCAGCAGGCAGGAGGCAGAGGCAGATGGATCTCTGACTTCAAGACCAACCTGGTCTGCAAAGTGAGTTCCAGGATAGCCAAGGTGACAGAGAGAAACCCTTTCTCAAAAAATAAAACAAATTATATACACACACACATATATATGTATATATGTATATGGAATATACATATATGAGAGAGGCAGAACTATATATATGAGAACAATAATCATGACTTGTAAAAATCGTGCAAGAATTAATATGATCATAATACCATAAGAACACTGATATACTTGAACAGCTTTGGATAAAAAATAGTATATCCACCCTCTCTAGTATCTGTCTGCTAAAGCCTAGCATTTCTTCACTCTGTGAGACATTTACGGCATAAATCAGAAGTAGCTAGTATAAAGGAAAGGTATTAAATCAGTCAGTGTCTCATAGTTATTGAGATTTAAAGTATTATTAAGATGCAAATTAATACACATATTTAGAAGGACTTTTTTTTTTGTTTTGTTTTAAGAAATGGCTTCAGCTGTTTCCTATTATTTTTTTCTCAGAAAACATCTGATTTTGACCAAGAAGCGCAAACATACCATTTCTCAGTTTGTCTCAGTTTGTCTCAAAAACTGAACACACACAGTACATACCCTCCTGTACTGACAAATGAACCCACCACAGGCCAGGCTTGACCACTGAGCTTGACTCAATAAAGTTATCCCCCCCTCCTTTTTTTTTGGCCACATTTGTGTTTTAGAAAGCCACATATAAATTTGTCAAAAAAAATGCACATCTTAGGGTTTTGTTTTAATTTGTTTGCTGGCATTTAGTCACTTATATGTATGCATGAGTAGTGTATGACACAGTTAAGAGGACAACCCAAGGGAGATGGGTTTCTCCTTCTCTGTGGGTCCTAAGGATCAAACCATGTCTGCAGGCTCATCTAGAACTTTCATCCACTAAGACATCTCACTGCCCCCCAACCCCTTAGTTTGGGGGGGGGAAGCTTTATTTTCGGCTGGAGAGGTGGCTCAGCAGTTAATTGTTTGCCACTTTTGTAGAGATCCAGCACACACAACTCATAGCTGCCCATTCCTCCAGCTCCAGGGTATATGATGCCCTCTCCTGGTCTCTGAGGGCACTTGCATTCAGATACACATTGCCACAAGTTCGCACACACATGGGCAAGCTCACATACCTCTAGAGTGTGTAATTAAAAAAACACTTTGCATTGCCTCTAGAGGCGTTGCGGGTGTGGCTGCTGTGTCACACGTGCGTCAGTGGGAGGCAGAGAGGAGAGAGAGGCCGTGTCTACACAGTGTTCTGACCTGTGAACATCTGAATGATTAATAGCCTAACACTCCCTGAAAAAAGTGAGCCTGAGATGACCACCAGTCCAGCACCAGGCTCCCAAGATGGTGAGCATGCCACAGACTAGAAGAGCCCCACCTGGGACCATGGGCCCTGGGCGGGAGTGAGCCCCAGACAGATGACCCTTGCAAAGGGCCACTGGGTAGGCCAGGTGAGGAGCGAGCCTGAAATGACCAACAGACTGGCGTTCACCCTTACAACTTCGATGTGAGCAGCTGGTGATGCCACTTGGGACCGTGGTGGGGGTCTTGGGCTATGCTGTTTCTGGAAACCATGCCTGGGTATGTGGTCCTGCAGCAAGAGGGGTCTGTTACCAACAAAGGTCAGGTGGACATCCCTGGTCTGGGCTGCCACACTGAGGGCATGTTGATGTCTGAGGGCTGTGCACAACTGGCCTACCCCTCACCTGAGCATCAAGAGCGATCTGGCCCTGGAGGCATAATAGCAGGAGAGCTGACCCCAACCCTCCTAGCCATCTGCAGTACTCAGGAGAGCAGGCCTGCAAACTACTGGAGTTTTGGTTGAGTCAGCCTCAGGATAGAAGCATGGGAGAGCTGGCTTTGCCATTCATCTAGGAAAAGATGCCCTCCTCACCTCTCATCCCTCACCACCTGTGGCAAGCGGGAGAAGTGGCCCCAGAGTCACGAGAGCAGGAGAACTGGCCATGTCCCTCATCAGCTGCAAAACTCAGAGGAGAGCAGGTCCTGAACCTCACCTAGGTAGCAAGTATATGATTCAGTAATGTTGAACATAGTCATAGAATGATACAACAACCCCTACAATTTCATTAAGCAACAACTACTTTCTGGCTCTATAGATTTGTTTGTTCTGCTCACTTGGTATCAGTGGAATTACATGATACGAGCTGGTGGCTGCCTGCTTTTACTTAGCAGGTGCACTCTACAACAGACCTACATTCCCAACTCTTCATTCCTTTTCATAGTAGAATTACAGTCTCTTGTATTTTATCATTTGACATTTGGGTGGTTTCTGATTTTTAGTTATAAATACGCTGCAATGAATATTGTATACAAATGGTTATTGTTGCTTTTTAAGACAGTTATATGCTGTAGCTCAGACTCCTAGAGATCCTTCAGCCTTAGTCTTCCAAGTGCTGCAATGATCCATTACACCCAGCTTTCTGATTTGTTTAGTACTTGTGATGGGGGAGAGAGGATCTTACTTCATGACATTTTGTATGACTGTCTGGTTGTCTACTGACCTTTCTCAAATGAATTGTCTTATGTCCTTGTAGATAAAGCAGTTGCTTAGAGTATAAGAGTTTACTTATAGATTTTATTCCATTGATATAAGTATCTTTTCTTCTATATGGCAACACTGGCTTAATTATAGTAGGTTTGTATTAAATCTTAAAATGGCAAGTGTGAGTTCTCTGGTGTTGGTCCTTTTCAAGGTAGTGTGGCTTACTTAGATTTCCATACGAGTTTTCAGATTAGCTGGTCACTTCATGTAAAGTGACCATTTGGGATTTTGAAAAGGACTCAAGTCAAAAAATAAATTTGAGTGCTGGAGAGATGACTTAGAAGTTAGGAGCACTGGTTGCTCTTCCAGAGTACCTCAGTTCAATTCCTAGTACCCATATGGCAGCTTAAAACTGTCTGTGACTCCCGTTCCTGGGGCTTGGACACCCTCATAGAGACATACATGCAAGCAAACTTCCGGTGCACATAGAATAAGAATAAATAAATTATAAATAAAGTTGGAAAGAGACAATGGGTTCTGTGTTCATAGAGTTAATTTAGATCCTACCTAATTTACACTTGATTATAAAATTAATCTCTTAATTATTTGCTAATGTTAAAGTACTCAGAAAATATAAAATAAGTACTTTTTATTTTATTGTTGAGTAGAAATTATCTTTTTTATTTTTGCCTTTTTTTCCTTCTGATACCCACAGTCCAACCCAACTTCAAGCTAGTGCCTGTTGAGCTAAATCCCTAGCTCCACGCCCTTCTATTGAAAATAGATTCTTTTCTCATACAGTATGTCCTGATTACAGTCTTCCCTTCCTCTACTCCTCCCAGTTCCTTCCCGCTTCCCCTCCCATCTGGCTCCACTGCTTTTCTGGCTTTCATTAGAAAAGAATAGGATGAAGTAATTACTTTTAATTATTAACACATTTCTACATATGGAGAGATTATCATAAAGAGAATGCTGAGACAGGTACCAACTCCATGTTAGGAGCTATTTAAAAATAACATTTAGTCTATGTGCTACCACCTTTTAATGTCCTAGTAAGATTACAACAGCTCATTTTTAAAGCCAAACTTATTTAGAAATTAGACATTAAATTATGCTTAAAACTGGGAAGAAAATGTGAGTTTATAAAAGTCTTTATCCATCTGGAGATTGTTGTTATCTTCAATGCCTTTAAAAATGTGGTAAAAATACCACATCCCTATTTTTCAAAGAATTGATAAGCTTGCTTCCAAAAAAATAAATACAAAAAAAATCTGTATTAGAATTTCCATGGGTGTTTGGAAATATTGTTTTGCCTTGTTTTTGTTTTTTGTTCTATTAAGATTTATTTTGTCTTTTTAAGCATTGGCAAAAGTTTGTGGGTGGGGGAAATGAGATATGAATAATACCTCAAGAAATGTGGGTGAGGATTACAAAAATAAACATCTTAGATTTTTACAGTGCTTTAGATTCCTTCACTTCCTCTAAGACACGGATAGCTATTTGATAGTTTGGGTGGTTTTCTTTCTTTTCTTTTCTAGTTTTATTTTTAAAGACAAGGTCTTAAACATATTTTTTAAGCCTAGGCTGGCCTCAGACTTAGTACATGTTAAACCTGTGAGTGACCTGTACCTCCCATATATGACCACACCAGCTTTCCTTTTTTCTTTTTTAGTTGACAAAAATAGAAAATATGTGTTTGTGTGTGTATGTGTGTGTGTGTGTGTGTGTGTGTGTATTTATTTATAATATGCAACAAAACTTTTAATATATGGACACACCATAGAATGGCAAAGTATTGCCTCATATTCTTTTTAATTTTCTTGTGGCAAGTAGCTCATATGGTTTTACTTAGTGAATGCCATATCCAGTGGCTCTGAGCCTTGCCTGCTGTCTGTTGGAATGCAGATGCCCTCAGCAGCACATCAGACCAACTAATAAACTAGAGTCTCTGGGATGGAACCTGGATATTAGAATTGCTCAAGACTCGCTGCCAAGTCTAGTGTGCATTCACTACTTAGAAGCAGCTATCAGCAGCAGGGAAGGCAGCAGGCTTGAGCCCTGGAAAATAGAGTGGCCAGAGAAGTCATACTCACTAAACCGTTTTTGGTGTTGGAGGTCAAGTCCGGAGCTTGTGCTCGTTGAGGACATCTCTACCACACACCCCACACCCCCTGTATACTATTTTCATTGTACCACTGTGAGGATTTTAGGACATAGTCATTTGGATTTGCCTTTAATTATGAACTATTCTAAAGAATTATCTAAAGGGCTAGAGATGGCTCAGGAGTTAAGAGCACTTGGCTACTCTTACTGAAGACACAGGTTTAGGTCCCAGTACACACACACACAGTGGCTCACCCCTTTATTCCAGTTCTGGGGGATCCAACACCCTCTTGTGGCATCTATGGACACCAAACATGTACATAGAAAAATGTAACCAAACACTCATACACATAAAAATAAAAAATGTTATCTAATTACCAGAACCCCAAAATTTTGATTCAGTTATACATACTGCCATATGTATGGCATATACATACGTGGCATTTGTTTGTTGTCAGGAGAAAGTCCTCTACTAGAAATAAAACGCTGGCCTAAGAGTTTGGAAACTTTTATTCTAGGGCTGGATAGATGGTTCAGTGGTTAAGAGCACCAGCCTCTCTTGGCAGCTCATGACCATCTATATATCTCTAGTTCCAGAGGATCTGATACACTCTTCTGGCCTTGTAGGTACCAGGCATGTATGTGGTGCATATGTACAGGCAAAACACCCACATGCATAAAATAAAACTAAATACAAAAAGACTTGGAAGTTTTGAGAACTTTTATTCTTAGTTTTCCTACTTTGAACTAGCATGTTCAAATTATGCTTTACGAAGTGAGGCCATTTGGACTAAAAAGATGCTCACCGAGTAGTTATTCAGCAAGTTGGATTCCTGCTGTGTTCTTGGAAAATACAGAGATGACCAGAACGTAGATCTGTCCTTGAACATCTGAAGGAGGGAGGCACACGTGGTATTGAGACCTTGTTCAGAGACTGTGGAAAGCTGGTGGAGCATGGTCATGTACTGCATCAGATCAACAGTAACACGGACACTGTTGCTGTTCAGGCCTACCCAGAGATGCTTACTGTCCACCTTCACGGCTCAAGCATTAACATGGGACCAGGTGCTGGGCAGCAAGACTATAAAAGTCTCGGATAGTTCCCTTATAAAGGTGGTTACTTGAGAAAACAGCTTTCTTCCTTGTCTTACCTTAGCTCACCTCACCTTATTTTGTGGGGCCATGGTGCTTTTGGTGCTACAAAAGACAAACTGAAGCCCACGGACAAAAGACTCAGTGATGAGAATGACCAAAACAGGAAATAGAACTATGTGGATCTTTGTCCTAGATCTTTGAAACTAATGAAAGATACTTAAGAGTTCTTATTGTTTGCATTCTGTCCACTTTAAGACTGGCTTAAGTCAGCAGTATCAGCATTACCTGGGAGGCTGACTCGTGTCTCAGTTACTTTTCAATTGCTGTGATGATCAAGGCAACTTATAGAAGAAAGCATATATTTGAAAAAAAAAAAACAAAAAACAAAAACAAACAAACAAAAAAAAACAGCTTTCAAAGGGTGAGTCTGTGGTCATCATGGCAGGGAGCATGGCAGCAGGCATGGCCGTGGAGCAGTAACTGAGAGCTCACATCTTGATCCACAGACATAAGGCAGAGAGCTCACTGGGAATGGCACAGGCTTTTGAAACCTGGGGTGGTGATTTCGCATACTTTTAATCCCAGCACTCCAACACTCAGAAAGCAGAGGCAGGCAGAGGTCTATAGAGCAAGTTCTAGGACAACCAGGGCTACAACAGAGAAATTCTGTCTTGAAAACCTAAGAGAGAGAGTGTGTGTGAGAGAGAGAAAAAGACAGAGTGTAGAGTGCATAAGATCTTTTAAGTATAGACAGAATTATATAGTTGGTAATAAGGATACTTGGAGTTGTATCTTTATCCCTGTTAATGTCTTTCTTTTTCTTGTCTAATTACTATAGCTAAGACTTCAAGCTCTGTGTCTCAACTAGATGCTCTGTGGTGTTTGTCAGTAACACATCCTCACTGCTGGAGCTAAGACTGAAAGCACTGTATTTCAACCCGGTGCTCTGTTACATGGATGTAGTTAACACTACAAATACATCTGGATTCACCCAGTGACCAAATCAGAAGATTCCTGGCTTTGAATGCAGATGTAGGAAGTTACAAAAACTATTAACTCTCATTGTGTTAGCTTTTCTGTCATTTTAACAAAAGATCTGAGCAAAACAACTTTGTTTTGAAGGAAAATTTTAGGGCTGGCTGTGGTAATGCACACCTTTAGTTCCTGCACTTGGGAAACAAAGGCAGACATAAGAGGAGCTCTGTGAGTTCAGGGTCAGCCAGGGCTATCCAGTGAGACCCAGTCCTTAAAATGTTTATATTTGCCCACTGCTCTGGAAGTGTCAGTACATGGTCAACCAGCTCCTTTATTTGGGGGCCTAAGGGGAAGCAGAACGCCGTGATGAGAGCTTGTTGTAGAGCAAAGATACTTGCCACATGGCAGCCGGGAAGGGGCTAGAAGGAAGTCTGTATCTCCCCAGACTTCTCCAGTAACTTGCTTGTAACTAGTCTCCTCACGCCCTCCCCACGGTCCCGGGCCATCTTGTTATGGATCCACCAGGGATTAGGTCACAGCCCTCAGGATCCACCACCGCACCTGGCTCATTTTAACTTTGAAGTTTTGTAGATTTTTCTAGAGAGCTCTAATTTTGAAGTTTTAATTTTTAGAGTTTAATTTTGAAGTTGATAGATTTTCTAGAGGTGTGTGTGTGTGTGTGTGTGTGTGTGTGTGTGTGTGTGTTGATTTTGACCTACTTGTGCATTTCAGTTGCACTTGCCTTATCTAGTGTTTGTCAGAAGGCCAAAGATGGTAGTGAATTAGTAGCTGTAGTAATAAATAACAAATGTTTTTGTTTTTCAGGGAAAATTTTTATCCCCAAACAGAAGCCGGTACAGACTTTTACAGAAGAAACTATATCCCTTGATCCAGAATTAGAAGAAGCTTTGACGAGTGCATCTGACACAGAACTGTGTGACCTTGCAGGTATCACCTGAGACTTTTATTTTGGGAAGGACCTTGGGAAGGGGCAGAGTGAGGTGTGGTGTCACACCCACAGAAGGCTGTGTATTCCTTGAGGGACAGAGTGCTGGTGGGTTTGTAGATGGAGCCTTCATCAGAGAAGACATCAAAAGATTAGAATGTTTCTGAGGATGCTGTTTCTTTTAAATGGAAGAACTTCACACTTTAGTGTAGTCTCTTGCACCACCAGGGCCAGCCTTGGACTCTGTCTTTGTAGAGTGTTAGGTTCCTGCAAACCTAAACAGTTTCCTTTCGTAGCCACCAGATGGAGCTGCCAGATGGGGTCAGCCTGGCTCACACTGTTTCCTAACTTAAAAGACGCCGTGAAATAACAAGGGGATTGATGAAAATAAATGAGAGATTGCCAGTAATGCCTAATCCCTACCTCCACCCGACCCTCCCGTTTGGGGGTATAAAGTCCATTTTCTGTTTGGTAGGAAAATGTCTGGAGAATGTTAAAATTATTAATAACTTTTTGTCTGTAATCTGGATCCTGGGCACGAACCTGTAGCCACAGCTACATGGAAGGCTTGACGTGGGAGGACTGCTTGAGCCCAGGAGCTAAAGGCCTGCGTGAAACACAGCAGGGCTCCATCTAAAAACAGTCAAATGAAAAGAGCAGGTAAAAGTAGAGAACTGACTTTCTTCTCTCTGCAGCTATTCTTGGGATGCACAATCTGATAACAAACACACAGCTCTGCAGTGTGATGGGAAGTAGTAATGGTGTGGACCAAGAGCATTTCTCAAGTGAGTAATTAAAAGCCTGTGAATTTTAATCTTTTGTCAAATATATTTTGCTTCCTCCATGTATTAACTTTGTCACTTCTTACACCAAATATTATATATCCATGTGTTAAAATTCAATTTTGATATTACTGTCACAGCAAGCCATTAAAAGTATAAAATTTAGTCAGGTGCTGTGATTCATACCTATATTACCATCACTCAGAATGCTTCCTGAGGCTGGGCACGGTGGCACATGCCTTTAATCCCAGCACTCAGGGAGGCAGAAGTAGGCAGGTCACTGTGAATTCAAGGCCAGCCTAGTCTACGAAGGGAGTCCAGGACAGCCAAGGCTATAGAAAGACCCTGCCTCAAAACATCAGAAAAGGAAGGAAGAAAGAAAGGAAGGAGAGAGAGAAAATTAAAAAATCAAAAAAGGAAGGAAGGAGAGAGAGGGAAGGAAGAAAGGAACAAAACTTCCTGGAGGTCAGAAGTTCAGTTTCTACCTTGTGCAGCTTATAATCACGTGTAACTCCAGCTCCAGGGAATTTTTAAAAAATAGGATACTTTTTTTTTTTTTTTTGAAACAGGGTCTCACTGTGTATCCTTACCTGGTCTCGAATTCAAACCTGCCTGTCTCTGCCTCCTGGGTGCTGGCATGTGCCATCACACCTGGCAGTATTTTAGTCTTAATGTATTATCAAATATAATGGGGACTGCTTTTGCCACATGAATACTGGCAACAGTATAAAAACCAAACAAGCTTAGGGTTTTTAATTTATCTTGGTTTTTTGTTTTTTGGGTTTTTTTTTTTTAGTTGCTTTTGCAGAGTGAGGGTCCAGTGACAGACCTTCAGCATGAACCCTCTGACCCTGAACAGCCCCAGCCCAGCCATACTCAATATTTGTTGACGTTTTATGTTTTTGTGTTGTTAGTTTTTAAAGAATCTGGGAATTCTGACAAAGTTCCTCTTTTTTAAAATATAGGATGTTTTAAGTTCTCAAGGTAAATATATGCTATTATAGCATATTTAAATATGTCATAAATATATATACTTCAAAGTAAATGTCTCAGAGCTGCAGTTAAGAGTTTACAACCACCTGTAGCTCCAGTGTTAAGGGATCTGGTAGGTTTTTTTCTGGTCCCCATGGGGCTCCTGCATGCATGCGATATACATATGTTCAAGTAGGCACATATATGTACACATAATTTTTTTAAAAAGGAAGTAAATGTTACAGCATTATGTAGCCTGCCACCCCCCTCAGCTGTTAACAAGTTGCTACTATCCTGTTTTACAGTCCTGTTTAAAGTTGATACACAAATGTATATAGCTTATGCATAAATTGTATTTTTAGTAAATTTTATGCATTTATTGCAACTTAATTTTTCAAGATTTTTAATATCCTTTACATCTTTTTTGTTGTTGTTTTTTATCGCTATTTTGTCTATATGTATGTCAGTGCATCTATGGTAACCAGAAGAGGGTGTTAGATTCCCTAGGACTGGAGATGGTTGGGAGCCACCATGTGGATACCGGGAATTGAACCCACGTCCTCTGGGAGAGCAGCCAGTGCTCTTATCTGCAGAGCTCTCACTCCAGCCTACAAGTTAGTTTTTTCAATTCCCAGGGTTGTTTTTTTTTCTTTTTAAATTCTTACTCTGGACCTCCTCTGTGCAAGCTCTCAAATGTGGATTATTCTCACTTACTATAACAACCCTATGAAAGAGGTATTACTCTCTTCAGTGTTCTTCTGAGGGAGCTGGGGTTTTAGAGTGATAACAAGCCTTGCTGTCACATAAATAGGCAGTGAGGGTTTTAACCACTATGTGCTGACTTATTTCATTCGAATGTATGTAGCTGTCGCTTTTATAAGGTGGTGTAGTTTGGCTATTTCCCTTGTTTTCAGCTTTTTATTTTCAGAAATGCTCCTTTGTGAGAAAGGAGACACCATGCAGTCATTACCTGCCTTCAGCTAATAACATTCCTGACCTTTCTTCCGCTTCCCTCCCAGCGTCTTTGCGTGTTTTCTGAACTAACTTCCTTCTTTCCTTCCCTTTGGAGGTCAGTGGACAACCTTCCCGAGTCTGTTCTCTCATATGGGTCTCAGGGATCGAGGATCATCAGACTGGTAGCAAACACCTTCACCTGCTGGGCATCTCATCAGCCTTTCTCCCTGCCCTCCCCTGCCCCAGAAATTTTTAAAAGTCAAACCTTCTTGGTTTTGTTACTGTTAGTATTTATGTAAAAATTCTACATGCACACAACAGATTTTTTATTAAATTTTTATTTTTTATATTAATTACAGTTTATTCACTTTGCATCAGAGCTGTAAACCCCTCCATCACTCCCTCCCAATCCCACCCTCCCTCCCTCATCTTCTGCCATCCCCCTATCCAAGTCCTCTGATAGGGGAGGTCCTCTTGCCCTTCCATCTGACCCTAGCCTATCAGGTCTCATCAGGACTGGCTGCATTGTCTTCCTCTGTGGCCTGGCAAGGCTGCTCCCCTAACAGGAGGAACAACAGATCTTATATGAAATAGTTTATTCAGGGAAAGGGAAACAGAAGAGAGTTAGGACCTAAGTGGATCATGAGGGCAGAGAGACACACACATACAGAGGGAGAGACAGACAGAAATGGGAGAGGGGTGCCCCAACAGAGAGAGGGGAGAAAGCAAGAGAGAAAAGTAAGAGGCGGCATCCATGCGCAGCTGCAGCATGACTGCCAGGTGTGTCTGCCACAGACCTGCGACACATGATGGCATCATAGGATACTAGGCAACCCAGAAGTAAGCTGCCTATATGCAAACAGTTACTTTATGCTCAGCCTAAACACATACATATATATGCTCACATAATGTATATATGTCTCTCACAAATTTAGGACTTTAAAAATATAACCCAGTGCCGTTATTAAATAGGAAAATTAACATTTGCTTCATATCATCTGAAATTTTATCTGTGTCCAAACTTCTTTTACTTTCAAAAATATCTCGTCCTTGCTTCAAATCAGAATCCAAGTAAGGGTTACACAGTATATTTGTTTGTTTTCAGTCTCTTTTTTTCTTTATTTAAAAAATACTTTTACTATGTTGCACATGTGTAGATCTAAGGACAGCTTGTGGGAGTCAGTTTTCTCCTAGGGATTGAACGCAGGAATAGGCTTGGCAGAAAACACCTTTACCTGCTGAGACATCTCACCAGCCACGTCTTTATTCTTAACGGTTTCTTACTTCAGCCATGTCATTTATTTCACCAGTAGGTTATTTACCCAGTAAAAACTCTACCTGCTGTATTTGGTTTATTGAAACCCAACGATGCTATTTTATGTTCTTCTGTCTCCAGTGTTTCTATGAACTATTAGATCTAATGGCTAGGACAGATTCAAATGGAAGGAAGTTGGTGAATATTGTGGGGAGTTGGCAAATGCTTCAATCACATAGCTCAAGTGTAGTCTCTCATTTTTGGAGAATGTTAACTAATTGTTGAGGAACTGTGTGTGCTGTGGTGGTACACATCTCTAATCTCAGCACTAGAGGGTCTTAAAGCAAGAGGATTGCAATTTCCAGACAGCCTTGGCTATGTAGCAAGACTGCTTCAAAATGAGAGAGAGTAAGGGAGAAAAAGAAAAGATGAGCTGGTTCAGGCATTGGCCTGGTCCATCCACTTATAGCTTCTAGTCATAAAGTCTTAAACCTTTTTTTGTATGTTTGCCCATATACATATATATAAGTCTCTCAAATTAAGAACTTTTTTTGGTTTTGGTTTTGATTTTTTGAGACAGGGCTTCTCTGCGGAGCCCTGGCCAGCTTAACTCTGTAAATCAGGCTGGCCTCGAACTCAGAGATCTGCCTTTCTCTGCCTCTGCCCCCTGAGTGCTGGGATTATAGGTGTGCACCACCACCACCACCTGGCTTAGATACTGGACCTTTTAATACACTATTCTGTGGTTTTATAAAACTGAGAGCTCACTCAGGTTTCCATTCAGTGAAGTGCTACCCCATGTCCCATGGTCCACTAGCTGGAAGAAAACTGCCTTAGTAAATCTAAATGGGAGTAAGCCCACTCTTCCCTTGTTTTCAGTGTTCAATAACACAACTACCGAAAAAAGATATTCTTGCAATTATGGAGAAAGGATTTTCAGATATGTGGCCTGAAGAGTGGGGACAGATGACCAAGTTAATGTGTGTCTTCTCTCAGCTTTACCATCTCAGTCAACCCTGGCTCTTCCCATTTGTTCCCACAGATGTGGTAAAAGGTGAAAAGATTTTCCCAGTGTTTGATGAGCCACCGAATCCAACCAACGTTGAAGAGACTTTAAAGAGAATTAAGGAAAATGATGCCCGTCTTGTTGAAGTCAATTTGAATAATATAAAAGTAAGTATGTCAAGCATGCAACATGCACAAGGATCAACATGGACACGCGTTTGCTTTGAGTCAGTGGAACCCAGGGCAGTAACGTGGCAGTTCTGATAGGCAGTCTTAGCCCCTTCTGCTTTAAGGTGGTATGTGAACAGAGATTCCCTCAAAGTTTAGAAATCCAGCTCTACAGAAAAAATGTAAGTCCTACACATTGTCAGTAAATTATGCAGATTTTTAAAATACTGCCTACTTTTTGTTTGTTTGTTTTTTAAGATGGGGTCTCTCTGTCCCAGCTGTCCCAGAACTCATTCTGGAGACCAGGCTGGCCTGGACTCTGAGATCTATCTTCTGGCTCTCGAGTGCTGGGATTAAAGGCGAGCACCACCACAGAGCAAAATACTGCCCACTTCTAAGAACTTTAGCCTCTTGGGTTTTGTTTTAATCAGGTTTCTGAAGGTATTATTAATACAGTTAAATAAGATTCTTATAGTGTACAATCCTGAGCTGTACAAGCTGTAAAATACCACTGTCAAGTTGTAAAATAAAAAATAAGCTGATTGATGTAAGGCCCACCTGTGATGGTAGAAGCTCTTTGGGCCCCTTTGTTATTCTGTCCACTCTCACCCCTGACCACTACTCATTTTGCCTTCTCCAGCACTGTAAATGGAATCAAGCTTGCAGCTTTTTGAATCTAGCCTTTGGCATAATGTACTTGAGACTCGCCCATATTGTGTAGGTTTCACTAGGTAGCTCTTTGACGGAGGAGTTATTCCCTTGTAGGTTTTGCTGTGGTTTGTTCATCAGTGAGTCAGTTGACCTGGACTCCTTCCAGTTTAGAACGGCTATGTGTAAAATGGCTGAACATGTGTACATGTGAGCTCTTTGAAGAATATAGGCTTTTGTTTCTCTTGATCAAATTGCCTTTCTGGGATCTCACTGGTTTTTGGTTTTTTTGTTTGTTTGTTTTTTCAAATTATTATTACTGATGGTTTGTTGTTTGTTTTGAGGCAGAGTCTCTATATAGACCTAGCTATTTTAGAATGCTCTGTGTAGACTAGTCTGTTTGTGCATTTCCTGAGTACATTTTAAAGCAAACAGTAAGTAGAAATGTATTTGATTGCTGGATTGAACTTCCTGAAAACTAAAATGTTGGTGGTGTTTCACATTTTTGTCTTTCAAGAATATCCCAATTCCAACTCTAAAAGATTTTGCGAAGACTTTGGAAACCAACACACACGTGAAACATTTCAGTCTTGCAGCCACCAGGAGCAATGACCCCGTTGCTGTTGTAAGTACATTGTGATTGATACTGTCAGTAATTCCTAACTGGTGTCTACAGACCTGCATGTTATAATGAGGTTAAGCCAGTTTGTTTTGTGAGACAGGATCTCTTATAGCCCGGATGGCCTTGAATTCTCTGTGTAGTGGAAGATGGTCTTGAACTCTTCAGTTCTCCTCCCTCTGCTTCCCAAGTGCTGAGATTATAGGCCTATACTACTGCCCCCCCTTAAACTGTGACTTCCTTTATGTTTATCTATTTATTTATTTGGTGAGTCTGTGTGTGGACGTGTGTGGAGGTCAGAGAACAACTTGCAGGGGTCAGTTCCTTCCTTCCACCATGTAGGTCCCAAGGATGGAATTTGGGTTGTCAGTCTTCACAGCCAGTGCCTTTGCTAGAGCCATCCCATTGGCCCTAAACCATAACATATATCTATATGATTTATGTGTGTATATGTATGTATATATGCTTTGTGATCTTTTTCATGTAGCATTTTAGCTCACTGTTTGGACATATATTATGTACCCTTTTTTAAAAATTTATTTATATTTATTGCTTATTAGTTTTTCTTTCCTCTTTCAAGGTAGAAAGAGGTAGGTTCCTAAGATAGCAACTCACTGTGTAGCCTAGGCTAGCATCAAATTCATGATCTTACTGCCTTGGCCTTGGCCTCCTCAGTTTTTAAACATAAATGGGGCCTAGAAGTATGATTGAATGGTAAAGTCTTTTGCCTGTGAGGACCTGTCTTCAATCTCCAGAACCATGAAAAGAAAAATGTAAAAGAAAGAAGGAAGGAAGGAATTAAATTGATTTTGATTTTTCACCCCACTGTATATATTAGAGATCTTTTTGTGTCAGCATACAAAGATCTGCTGCATCCTTAACATGTGCACAGAATTCCACTTATGGGTCTGTGGTTTGGGATTTTTATCAAATGCTTTTCTCTGGAGATGAGCATGTGGCGTTCGTCCCTTTAAAGCCGACACTGCTCTGTGTGTATTGGACCAGCCTTGCACTCAATGGGGAATCACATCGATTGTCCTAAGAGCCTTTCCCTTCATTTGGCTTTGCAGCAATCACTCCTTCATCGTCACTAGTTCCCAGGTTCCCACACAGCGTCTCCCTCATCTGCCCAAACTCTGAACATTGGAGTGGTTCGGAGCCTTCTTCTTTTCATCCTCACTCTGCCTGGGCAAGCTCATTTCAGTGCTGTAGGGTATTTACACATGTGGTGACTGCAATGCTTCGTCCCCTTCGTACCTCTGTCCTTAACTCTCCAGTTTCCTCACACTTCATCACTAAATGGCAGCAGCATCAGTCTACTTTCCTTGGTAGACAGGGAAAAAATAATAACTCTTAACTTCCCTTCCCTACAGCTGTAAGCCATATACTCAGTCCTGCCTTCAAAATATTTTTAGAATCTAGGATAGTCTTGCTGGCTCACACAGGTAATACTAGCATTCAAGAGGCAGAGACAGGAGGATTGCATAAGTTTGAAATTGGCCTGGTTTATATGACAAGCTTTGGGCCATTCTGGGCCACATGGTGACCTCTTACATAAAAAGAGAGAGACAGAGACAGAAACATGGGGCTGGTAAGATGTAGCAAGTAAAAGCACTTGCTAAACAGGCCTGACCATGTCAGTTCAATCCTCAGAACTCAAGTAAAGGCAGGAAGAGAGAGCAGACTCCACAGAGTTGTCCCCTGGCCTCCACATGCACACAGAGTGCATATGTACCCACACACACCATAGGCACACACATAGACACTGTCATATTTTTAATTGCCTGATGAAGTGATGTGCACCTTTAATTCCAGCAGTCTGGAGGTAGAAGCAGCCTGATCTATGTCAGTTCCAGGCCAGCTAGGTCTACATTGCAAAACCTGTCTCAGAAGGGGGTGGGAGGCCTGGAGATGGCCCTCGGTTAGTAGAGTGCTTACTTATTCACAGAGTCCTGGGTCTAGCTCCAGCACCACACAAAACGAATATGATAGCACATCCCTGTAATCCCAGCACATATCTATAATAAATTCAGGAAGCAGAGCCAGAAAGATCAGACGTTCAAGGCCATCCTCGGATTCATAAAGAATTTGAAGCCAGCCTGGGACACATAAGACCAGCATGGAATCCATGAGACCCTATCTAACAAAACAAAACAAAACAAAACAAAAAAAGTCGCATGGCAGTGCATGCATTTAATCCCAGCACTTGGGAGGCAGAGGCAGGCAAATCTCCTAGTTCCAGGACAGCCACAGCTACCCAGAGAAACTCTGTCTTGAAGGTGAAAAGGGAGAAAAATATTTTCCATATCCAACCATTTCTCACATTTTTATAACTCCAGCTCTGACGAAAGCAGACTTCTCTTTCCTGGATTATCGCAGTTGCCTCCTCAGTGAGCCACCTCTGTCTTAACCCACCCTAAAGCCAAAAGAGATACTAATAAAATTACTTCCTTACAGGAACAGAGAGAAAGTGTGAGAGACAAGAGAAAAAAATCATAGTGGAGAATGAATGAACATGAAACATGTACAGGAGTTAGAAATGTCAGCACCAGGGAATTACATGTGACCAAATCATCTGAGGATTAAATATAGTAATGCACATGACATAAAAAAAATACATGAGAGACCTAAGCAGTAATGTATCAAGCTGAAATAATGTAAAGAGAAACTTAGAAAATTAAATTCACTTGCTGATGGGATGTGAAGCAAACAGTAGGTACTATCAGATTTTAATCTCCAAATATTTTCTCTTAATTTCTAGGCTTTTGCAGATATGCTGAGAGTAAACAAAACTTTGAAGAGTTTAAATATGGAATCCAACTTCATCACAGGCAATGGAGTTTTAGCACTAATTGATGCTTTGAGAGATAACGAGACCCTGACAGAGCTCAAGATTGACAATCAGGTCTGTGTTATACAAAAGTAGTTTGGAGGAAACTGCAGCCCCCACTGCTGGGAGGGCTGCAGTCCTGAAAAGATAGGAGTGGAAAAGGGGTGGTGAGCCATTTGGGGATCCAGAATATTAATGTATATCAGTTGAATATGCAGCACGTCTCTCTAAGTCAATTAAATAACTTAGATAGGTGGCTGATTTGAACCGGAAAGACTTTTACATGTGACTTATTCCACTTTTTTCTCCAATTCTTTGAGAGAGCCACATAATAGGTAAACCTTTTGTATCTATAGTGTGCTACAGTCTCAAATACACAGAAGATAAATAGAGTTGATTGTATGAAAGAAGAGAAATAGGGCTGAGGAGATGCCTGGATGGGCCAGAGTTCATGCTATGATTGTAAGAGGACCTGAGTTCAGTCTGCCACGCCTGTGAGAGATGCTGGACACAGGGACTTAGGCATGGAACACCTATGGGGTCAGGGAAAAGCAGATCCCAGGAGCTCAGTAGCCAAGACAGCAAGCTTCAAGTCCAGTGAGAAAAGCACCCCAGTGCCCTGGTTGCTTTGAGGACACCAGCCTCAGCTGACAGGGGTAGTGCCAATACTTTGACTAATGTGAGACCACCTATTCCTAGACATACTTTTTTTTTTTTTTTTACATTTTTGTATTTTATGGACATGTGCATTCATGAGTGTGCATAAGGAGGCTAGAGGCGTTGGATTCCCTGGAGCCGGAGTAAATATGTTTGGGAGCCACCTGACGTAGGTGCCGGAATCTGAACCCGGGTCTTCCAGAAAAACAGCAAGTGTTCTTAGCTGCTGATCCATTTCTTCAGTCTCACAGACAAACTTTTTTAAAAGGGGAAAATAGACATACTGGAAATATTTCCATATAGAGCAACTGTTAATTTTTTATTTGAGAAATAGCTTTGCGGGCTGGGGACATGGCGCACTGGTGAAGATCTTGCTGCACAGTCACGTGGACCTGAGTAGCATCCCACTGTTAGTGCCCACAGAGAAGCAGGGTGCAGCAACACACATCTTGACGCCATTCCACAGAAGCAGAGACAGGCTCATCCCACAGGCTTACTGGCCTGCCAGCCTAGCCAGAACGGTGACCTCCCAGTTCAGTGAGAAGCTCTGCCCCAAAACTAAGGTAGAGAATGATAGAGGAGAATATTCAGTGTCAGCCTCTGGGCGCCACACACACCACACACACCACACACACACACACACACAAAATCAGTTATTTGAAAACATATTTGGCAAGTGATTCTCTAAATCCTTCAAAGTAAATGAATGTGTAAACTATGAAAAGAAGATTTGGTTATATCTAAAATTTGAGTCAAGATGCTTCTTAATCCATAATCTCAAATTTTTAATTGAGATGGAACTCAGTATGTGATGTTTGTGACTGACTTCTTCAGCCCAGCATAAAGTCCTGGCGGTCTATCCATGTTGCAGCACATGTCAAAACACCAATCTGTACATGGAGCCATTAAAATAATGCTGCGGAGCTGGAGAGATGGCTCAGCAGTTAAGTGTCCTTGTGGCTCTTGAAGAGGACCTGGGTTCAATTCCTAGCACCCACATGGTGGCTCACAATCATCTCTAACTCCAGGCCCAGAGAATCTGATGCCTCTTCTGACCTTCATGGGCACCAGACACACACATGGTGCACAGACAGACAGACAGACAAAACACTTATACATTCATATGCATGAAGTTTTTAAAAATATAAAAAACAACAACTTTAAGAAGAATAATGCTCTCATGAATATTAACATATAAATTTCTTATGAACATACATGTTTATTTCTTGGGCCTTATACCTACAAGTAGAATTGCTAGATAGTATACTAATTCTGTATTTCAAGATTTCAAGCACTTACCAGGGGCCCACTTTCCTACATTCTTGGCAGCCACTTAAACAAAACGAGGTCACATTGTACTGCCCAGACTGTTCTTGCTTGTTATTCCCACCTCAGCTTGCCCAGTGCCTGGGACTACCGGTGCACGCCACCATGCCTGCTGCTTAGCCATCTTCTCCTGTGGTTAGTGTGTTGGTTTATTGGGGCCAAGGTTGAGACATTGTTAGCCAGGCTAACCGCAAACTCCTCGGTATGAGAAGATGATCTTAAACTTCTACTTTCAGCTCCCAGTACTGGGGTCACGGGTGTGCAGCACCACACCCACTGTATGTGGGCTTGACCGCAGAGCTCTGTGGCTGCTGGGCAGCACTGCCGGCAGAGCTGTTTCCTCAGGCCTTTCAGTCTTCTTCACCACGCCCATCCTTGTGGGTTTGCGGTGGCACTCAGGATATCCACACTTTTATTTCTATATGAGCTTTTGGTATCTAGTGAGCTTCTAAAAATGTGTTTCTTATGTATGTTGTAGAAATTGGATAAACATAAAGAGACTAGGAGAATCGACATGGGACTAAAAGGCTTAAATCTTAATTACCTAAAAAATGTTTTGATCTGGTTTATTAACACTGTTCTTTGTTTCTGATTCTTCCAGAGACAGCAGTTGGGCACCGCAGTAGAACTAGAAATGGCCAAGATGCTTGAGGAAAATACGAATATCCTTAAATTTGGGTATCAGTTCACGCAGCAGGGACCCCGAACCAGGGCAGCCAATGCTATAACGAAAAACAATGATTTAGGTAAGACCTATGCGGTACTGAGTCGAGTTTCTGAGATACAACACTACGCTGTTTTTAAAAGTAAATTTTCGCATAGAAAAAGTCCCTATCCTTAGTCTCTAATGCTGCTGGCCCTTTACACAGTGAGTCAGAGCTGAGCCAGGTTGTAGGGATCATCCTGTGTCAAACCAACCTGTGTGACAGGCATGCGATAGCTTTAAGTGAAGCTTGCTGCGACAGATATTCTATTCTTGGTTGTCAGTTATTCCTCGTACTCTGAAATCAAGAACTCAGCACCACCAGAAAGCATCTGGCCTATTTTTCAAGCAGCCCCGGGCAGAAATTCAGTTTTGCATTATGAAGTGTAGTTTAAGTCCCTGCCTCCCTGTGGTGCACACTTTCCTGCCGCACCCACCTCCTCAGGGATCCCATTCTCTAGTGCTCCTTTTACCACCGAGTCTTGTGCTCTCCGAAATGAACTCTCTAGCCTGGATGAGTTAAATATGGTACTCGTATTTTTGTTTCTTTGTATTTCCAGAAAGTGACTCTCCTTTTAAGTTATGCTATTTGCCACTAAAATGCTTTACAAGATTCATTATAGGCAAGAAGTAAAAGTAAGTCCTCTCAGCAGGGGTGGCCTTTCCAAGCAGTGTAGTTGTTTTAGGTTCAGCCATATTTGCATTTATATTGTTGTAGTTTCATTCGTTTAATCCAGGTTACATGATCAGTAGTGTTTAAGACCCTCTCTGTATCAGCTGCCCATAGGAAATCGAAGCCACTCACTTTTCAAAAGAGAAAATGGTCCTTAGCTGTACTCTGGATTCTAGATGAGGTTTTCAGTCATCCACATTGTCTTAGTGCTGGCTCACTTCCTTTATTTCCCTCCAAGTGTTCTGACTTTGCTGTTCAGAGCAGTGTTTCTCAAGTCTGAGCTAAACTTTGTAAATAGCTAAAGAACTTTGGAAACACAGATTATTGGCCTTCCTTTCCTTAAGAGAGTCAGATTTAGAACACGCTGGAACTTGGGCATGGTGACCCTTAGCAAGAGTTCTAATTCTGTTGTGGGCACTACAGAATGTGTGAACTACACATTGAAATCCTAGCTTATTTCTCCGCGCATCAGAAGGTATTTGAGTTTCTGAATCTGACATTAATACGTATCTTAAACACATGTGCCATATATATTTTATACTTATCGCAACATTTGTCATACTTTTAAAATTGCCTTTATTTCTTAAGTCAGTTGTAGTTCATTTATAGTGTCTGTCTCTAGATAAATTTTGTTTTTGAGCAGGGTCTTGCCGTTATAGCTCAGGCTTGCCTCAAATTCCTGGTGATCCTCCTGTCTCCAACTGCAGACTGTTTGGATTTAGCTAGCATGCTAAAATAGACCACGTAGATAACAAGGACATCAGGTGACAAAGAATAACCAAAAATGGCGCTCTGCCCTTTGCCCTCTGTCTTGTGCACATAACAGCTGCTTCAGGTCTGCTCCCAGCTTTATTCCTTTTCAGTGCACTGTGGTTTCTGCCTATAGATCAAGGCAAAGAGTCTGGGGACAGTGCTTTCTAACAGCCTGACAAGACTTGAAACTGACAGGCTCCTGGGCAAGTAACTTTTCTTCAGCTTACAAATTGGACTATATCAGATCTTTGTTCTCATTCTTATAATACCTTCTCATTGTTTTCTTACTCTCAGCTATCCATTGAAATGCTTCTGCCTACTCGCCATCTCTCCAGCTCAGAAGTGTCACAGCTATAACAGAAAAGAGGTTGTATGGCACACATAAAATAAGCACTTCAACTTTGAGCCTCGAGTTATTTATCTGTGTGCTAGCTAAGTGCACAATCAGCTTTCTGCCGATTTTTGTTTGCGGTGCTCTGTTCTGTAGATCCTGTCAGTAACATGTTTAACATTCTTTTGGTAGCATGTGTTTTAACATTTTAATGGTTTGCCAAAAACAGCCAAACCCTGCCCTAGGAATTGCCTGGATGTTTCCCTTTCTGGTGTATATCTGTATTTATATTTGTTTCATGTCTCCTTGGCTTTTTTTCCTCCCTTAATTTTTCAGTGGATACTTGAAACTTGTTCCTTATACTATAGATTAGGGTCAGGGAAGCTAAGTAGGTAAGTATAGTTCCTGGAGACTTTATCCTTTGCTTTTATTTTGCTGACTCCACCAAGCCAGTGATTGAACAGTTCTTATACACCAGTGAATGTCTGGTCCCAGCAACCAGTAGTCAGAATAGCATGAGAGCAGCCATTACTGTGGCTGGGTTAGGAGCCAGGTTTTCTCTTGACTAGCTCCTCTGACAGCCAAGTTAGGCAAAAGAAAGGTGTAGTGCCTTGTGACTTTGATCCAGAAGGGAAGTGGGGAATTAATAGCCAGTCCTATTGAGCCAGAGAATCTGAGTACAAAGTACCAAAACCGTATCACTGTGGGAGATCCTCTGGGGTAGCCATGTTAGCTTTCCTCACTAGGAAGATGGCTGACTGGTGCCTCAGAGCCAGCTTGTAGTCCTCAGAGGTGGCTGAAGATGAGCTCTCTGTACTGAGGACTCGCTGTGTTCTCAGTGCTGTGCTGTACAGCATGTTATACCTTTAATTGCATGGCCATGAGCAGTAGACAACATTTTTCTGTCACAGAGGAAAGTTGAGGCCGAGAGAGGCTGATGCCACAGCACACACCACGGGGAAGTGGCAGAGCTGAGGTTATGTTCCTTTGCTGACTGCAACTCGTTCTGTCCTCTTTGGATAATGCCCTGCTGTAGTGTGGAATGCCAAAATGGTGGCTCTCGGTAAATATCCTTGGTGTCTGATGGTCAAAGGAGCAAGGTAGCAAGTTCCTAAAACTGAAGACCTTACCTGACACTAATGGACTCAGCAGTGGTTAACATCACCAGTCCGGGAAAAGGCTGGGCACCAACAGGCATGTGCATCTTGTTGGCTTCGTCATCTGTACTAGTTGGTTAGCCACCTCAGCAGCCAACATGTAGTACCCAGAAGGAAAATTTGTGAAGAGAAGGGAAATTTGAAAGTCAAATTTCAAACTGCAAGTCAGTTAGTACATTTAGAAATGATAAAAATATTTTTATAGATTCCTTGACTGTAAGGAAATAATTTGTCGCTAGCCAGGGAAACATGCAAATACTTTCAGTAAGCCTTTTTAAATTTTATTTTGTGGTGTGGTGTTCTGCCTGCATGTATGTCTTTGTACCATGTGTGTGCTCACTACCTTTGGAGACCAGAAGTGGCCATCAAATCCTCTGGAACTGGAGTTGACAGACAGTTGTAAACTGCCACATGGGCGCTGGGAATCGAACCTCGGTCCTCTGGAAGACAATCGAGTCATCTCCCTAGCCCCTAACATAACTTCTTAACCATAGCTCACCAATACCATTGCAGACGTTACTGTACTAACTGATCGTTTCTCTAAACTTAGGCATACTTTGTTTTCTATGAGCAAATGACTTGAAAATTGAGCACTGAATACTCTGTGGCTTCTAGCCAGCTGTTGTGTAAGCACCAGTATCATAAGCTACAGAGTTGTTTAGAAGCCTCTTGATTTTTATTAAGTGATGGGGGGATGACCAAGCCTTCTATTAATGGTCATATTAATGAGAAGTACTCAGCTCATTTTGATGAGGTGTTAACTGTATCATTCAGAAACTTGTTACAAGCAAGTTAACATTTTATACACAGATATGGATTAGTAACAGGCTTTTTTCCCCACAGTGCGCAAAAGGCGAATTGAAGGAGACCACCAGTGAGCACGCCGAGTGTGGCCTACAGAAGACTGCCGATCGCCAAAGGCTCGTGTTGGTGGCCGCAGATGTAAAAACTTCCTGGGTAGAAGGGAAAAGACTGGAAATCTTTTTTTTAACTATATGCATTACTTTCCTAGCTTAAGATATTATGTTTGATTTGTAAAATCAGTAAAAGATAATATTTTGTATTTGTAGCATTTCTACTGAAATCAGTATAATTTAGTTTAATGGAATGATTTATAATGATTTTTAGATAAAAACACAATTGTAGAAAGTTTCAGAAGTCATGTTAAGAATAATCTGAACATCTTGAGGACCAATCTTTTTAAATCGAAAGGGACGTTGCTGACTCAATGCTAATGTTGCCTCTTGTACATAAAGGGTAAGGCGCATGGCGGTTTCCTTTGTAAAAATCCATGAATTTGGCAAGAGTGTGTTTTTTTCCTTATTAGGGAAATAAAAGGTCAGAATTTTAAAGATGGCTCAGGATGTGATATATCTACATAAGCCAAAGCCGACCTCCAGGAGGCAGACTGGGCCTCTGCGTTGCAGGTGTCTGCACGTGTGTGATGTGCCTCAGCTGCACTGGGATTGGTTGGTTGGTTGGTTTGTAATAGTCCGTAGCTCTGCCCCACTGCACACCTTGTTAAAGTATGACTATGTGTAAGGTTAGTACAGTATTTCTCCGTGCTGTGGGCATTAAATGTTTGTAAGAGCTAATGGCTAAAAGCATCAGAGTGGAGAGATTATTTACTCCCCATAAAAGGCTCTTGGCCACTGCACAGTTACTCAGAATAAAAGGAAGAAAACAGAGAGGTGCTGTTAGATACAGGGCAGAGTTCAAGCCTGAGAAGCTCACAAAATGGCCAGCAAACTGATGAGCACTGTCAGTTAGAAACTAAAGCATGAGCTAGCGATGGTGGCTCATCCTATAGCCCTAGGACTTGGGAAGCTGAGAAAGGATACTGCGAGATGTTGAAAGCCAACCTGAACTACATAGGAAGTTCCAGGTTAGCCTGGACTGGTTCTGCAGATGCAAGAACCTGTGTCAAGAGAAGAACAAACGTGTACCATGTGGTAAGAAGCTGCATCCATGATTCCGTGGGTGCAGTGCAGCACGGCAGGAGCAGTTAATCCCCGCTGCAGCTTTCCAGCCAATCACAAAAACTGCTGTTCTCAGAAATCCAATCTCAGTAGATCTTGTACTTTTAAACTCCACATGATAAAAACAATTTCTCTACCCTAGGTTATCTTTATCACCCAGGCAGTTGAGGGGGACTTCAGCCGTGTACAGGGCAGTGGGGTTCGGTGAGGCTGCACACTGACGCGCTGCTAGAGGATTTGCTTTGTGCCTGTGCTCTGCCCCAGGGCAGCCCCTCCAGGAGCAGCAGACATGCACAGCCACAGAGGAGGATGCTCCAGTGATGTGTCAACAAGTTGACTTTCGCTTATACCATTCCAGTTCGGGTCTGTAATGTACTGTGTACCTGAAGAATGCTCTTCTTTATAAGTACCTTAAGTGTGAACTCAGCCAGTTGAACAGATATGTGCTAAGAATTATAATGGAGAACAGTGTTTACCTTGATCTTTAAAAGTCTGGCACCTCTTGAATTTTTAATAACTTTCAGTGTTTTTTAATTCCTCTGAGGTTTTTATGACATGGTAATAAATTAGGATTTCACAACAGTTTTAATTTTAAGCCAGAGATTTTCTAAACCCTCGAGTTTTATGTCAAAATAAATGGTTGTCTAAGAGAACACTCTACAGTTTTAAATGCTCTTTGAGAAAGTCTTGAATTGCCCGTTTTGTAGAGCTGTATTCCCATTTGTCTCCAGTTGTAGTCTCCAGTGCGTCTGCGTGCAGTTGTGCACTTCAGCGTCACTGTTAGTGGGTGGCATTAAGACCTTGAAAACAGACTTCGGTGCTATATACTTCCTATAGCTAAAAGCCTACTAAAAGTTTGAAGAATAAATAAAATACAGTTTCTAAGGGTGCCTGTCATTTCAAAGACCAAATAAACATTTTGTGTTAAACATGTTGTTAGCAGACTGTTGGTGATTTCCAAGTGCCCATGATCATTAAGTTGCACGGTATCACTAATGAAATTAGTGCTTTATTCAAAGGGTGCACCCCTGAAAATTTACATGTAAATAGAACTTCAAAAGGCATTTTCTGATGGGCTGGAGAGATGGGTCAGAGGGCCTGAGTTCAATTCCTAGCAACCACATGGTGACTCACAACCATCTATAATGAGATCTGGTGCCCTCTTCTGGTGCGCAGGCACACATGCAGGCAGGACACTATAAATAAATCTTTTTTTTTTTAATTGCTTTCCATCAGGCACAGTGGCAGACACCTTTAATCCCAGCACTCAGGGAGGCAGAGGCAGGCAGATCTCTGACTTCAAGGCCAGCCTGGTCTACAAAGTGAGTCTAGGACAGCCAGAAAAACACAGAGAAATATTGCCTCGGGTGGGGGAAAAAATGTTTCCCAGCTGATAATTCCTTTACATGTTTTCCTTTGAAGGTGATATAATAAAATTATAAAAGAAAAAGTCTTAATGAAATATTAGTTGTATGGTACATCATGTTTAACCCATATTTCCACTAAAGTGAGACTTATGGCTCCCAGAGCTGTCTCAGTTGTGTATAGAGTCAGGAACCACTGTCACCTCCCAGCAGATGAGTCTTGATTTAGCTGGAGCACAGCACTACCACCCCAAAGCCTGTCTCCACATCAGCTCTCATTGTGGTTTCCAGATGGTTCTCACTCTTAACATGTATAAACAAACCAGCTGCCGTTAAATTGAGAAAGTGCCATGCACAGGTAAAGATTTTATATCATGTTGACTTTCCTGCACTATAATTTGGGTCCATGTGTCCTTCCCTATAAAAATTAAGCGCAGGGGCAGGAGAGATGGCTCCTCGTTAAGAACACTGGCTGTTCTTGCAGAGGTCCCAAGCTCAGTTCTCAGCACCCACACCAGGCGGCTCGCCGCCTCTTTTAACTCCAGTTCCAGATGTGATGCCCTCTTCCTCCTCTGTAGGCCCCTGCACACATGTGGTGCACAGACAGACAAGCAGGCACATGCACAGGCACATGCACATACACGGACAAATAACCAAAGCTGAACGATATGCAGATTTTATAGCAAACATAACATTTCATTAATTCTTAACTTCACCTCGCAGTCTGTCATTTAGAAGGGCCAACCTTAGGGGTTAACTAGGAAGAAAAGACATCTAAGCAAATCACTTTAATCACTGCCACCTATTATTTTTGCTTTTGCTCTTGTCAAGTATCTCCGAAAGCCTTCATTAAATATAAAGGGCTTGACTGGGCACACGTGCTTTCCAGGCCAGGTGAGAATAGACTGCGGCACTATCAAATACCTAGCCGTGTCTTGTCAACTGCTACAAGTTACCCTTTAAGGTAACCCCTGCCCCTTAAAGATGCTACTCCTTTTTCTACATTGTCAGTGTTTTAATCAGAGCAAATAATTCCCACAAAAATCTTCCAGATACTCTGATAAATTTAAAAACAAATTCTCAGTAAAACTTGTTAGTGTGTGTGTATACATATGTGCTTAGGTCAGCATGTGCCATGGCACATATGTGGAGGTTAGGGAATAGCTTTGTGAAGTTGGTTTACTCCTTGCACACCTAAACAACTCCGGGAGATCAGAACAAGACCTCTACCCTCCACAGCAGCTCACTGGCCCCGCTCTTTTTAAACCCGGATTTTTGTTTTTACAACCCATAACCCATGGAACCCAATTCCAATTTTCCTAAGGGCACCAAGAACAAGATTTCTAAGAGCTTTCTTTCTCCCTGTTTTCATTCCAGCAGCTAGACTATACTCTCAACTGAATAAAGACAATTCCTAAAAATTCAGGTGTCTTGACTTTGGTTATTAAGAAAATACAGGTACGTGCACACGGGCTGGTTGAGCAGGCTGAGCCGCTCCACACACTTCACAGAATGCTCGGTGTCCTTAAGGTCTCCATCCCCGAGTGCCAATGCCATAGTCTGGCTTCCTGTGACGGCGTCCAGCCTGCACTCTGGGGCCTCTCCATCTGTGGCACTGATGGCCCCTGTCCTCTGGGTGACGCAGAGGATGGTGTGCGTTTGTTCACCTTCTGGATCTGCTCGGCAGACTCGGTGTCATTTTTGGTGCTTTCCAAATGATGAGACTCAGGCTTGGATTTACTTCCAGCAGTATTCATCTGTCTCAGGGTTTCTATTGCTGTGAAAAGACACCATGACCAAGGCAACTCTTATAAGGATACAGGTTCAGAGGTTTACTCCATTATCATGGCAGGAAGCAAGGCAGAGCCTGCAAGCAGACATTGTACTGGAGAAAGAGCTGAGGGTTCTACATCCAGATCAGCAGGCAGCAGGATGAGAGTGACACTTGGCCTGGCTTGAGCCTCTGAAACCTCAGAGCCCACCCCCAGTGACACATTTACCCCAACAAGGCCATACCGCCTAAGAGTGCCACTCCCCAGTGGCCAAGAAGTACTGAAATCTGTGAGATTGTGGGGCCATTCCTATTCAAGCCAACACATCAGCCAAACCCTGTCTCCCCCTCAAAGAACACTTTGCTCCCCTGGACCAAAGTAAACTTAAGCCCATTATAGCCCCAGGTCTTACCCTCCTTCCTCACCACACTTTCACCTCCTGACTCCTCTTTGCATCATTCAACAGCTTTCCAGGAAAATCACCGGCCTCTGCAGCAGGTTCAGGTGATCCTGGTGTGAGGCAGAGCTGCTCCACCTGCCAGGAGCCTAGTTCCTCCAGATTGAATTTGTTGGGGAAAGCCTACTCAGTGGCCTGCAAAAACAGACCTCCAGTCATCTGAGGTGGCAGAGAATAGGACCATCCATGTGTTACTGTGCATCTTGTGTCCGTGTTGCGTGTCTGGTGTCTGCTGAGGCACCACAGAACCCTTGCGTGTATTGCTGGTGACACTCCCACCTCCTCCCCAGGTCTCCAGCCTTTTTAAAGGGCCTGACGGTGAGGTTCACATCTAGCCCTTCACCTCTCATCACATGAGGACATGCAGCCTTGTACTGGGGGAGGTGTGTTCATCATTTCAGGCACCGCCCTGGAGGCAGACTGAAACAGCACCTGAGTCCAGACCCTCCCGCCTCCAGAGCCATCATCTTCCTTCTCTGGTGGCTAGTAAATTCTCTTCTTGGTGTAATTTAAAGTTTCTAAAGGAAGGCCTGGGTGCCAGCAGTTTGCAAATGTCCTCACTGAACAAGAAGCAGAAGCGGCGGGCTCCCTCAAGGTGTTTCTCAACTGGTACGTGTGGCAACTTTTAAGAGTTTATTCCATCTCCACTTTTTAAAAAAATGAGATTTCTCTTCGTGTTTGTTTAATTTTTAGGACAGGTTCTCACTTTGTTGCACAGGCTGGTCTCCAACTCAGGGGCTCAGTGAGCTCTGCCTCCACCTCCTGAGGAGCTAGGAACAAGTGTCACTTTGCCCAGCTGAGGAGAGTACATTTTTTTAATTTAGTGGTTTTGAGATTTTGGATTTGTGTGCTTAGGCGGGAGGGTCCCAGGGCAAGGTCACCCAGTGCCTTGTGGGCTAACCTAAAGCCGTCCCTTCTTTTAAAGAACAAACTTTTGGCTGCTCTGTCCTTCCTGCTAGACATGGTCTGCCTGTCCTCCCAGAGCCTCAGGCTGAAGCCCCAGCAGGCAGGAGTGGTGGGATCTGAAGATGGCCCCTGGAAGGCAGAGGGAGAAAGGGCCTGCACACACATAAAGCCCCTGGGAACCCACACACTCGATTTATTTCTGTTTCAGGCTTGTGGGTGAATTACGTTTGGTTTATTTTTCTTTGAAGCCCAAATAGACCTTCATGGTACTGTATATTGCTCTGTCCTTTGAAGTTAAAGTTTTCCCAGTACTAACCCATCAAAACAGTAAATGCTGTGTAAGTAGAAAAGCAATGAATTTTCTGACATTTAAATAAGTATTATCCACCCAGTTTATAACAAAATAAAGTTTCTTTTGAAGACTAGACTACAGGCATTTAAAACATTGTATCCTGAAACAAATAATTTTATTAAAGTTCATCAAATATCCTAGATTCAGACATCTTAAAAAAAAAATCTCTTCTGTTTTACAATTTTAACATCCGCTCCTTCAGGAACAAGCTTATTGGGGGGAGGGACATGAATGAGAACAACGTATAACAACACATGGATATGACTAGGCTGCTGTGATACCCTGCTTTGTAATGCTAATCTGATTTAGAAGCAAACCCTTTTAAAAGAGAAAACTTAGTCCTTCTCCTGCTGCTACGATAGTATCTTCATCCTCCCCAAATTCCTGTGCCCATCATCCTCCCCAAATTCCTGTGCCCAGGCCCTAATTCGCAGTATTGATGGGATCTGGAGAGGGAACTTTGGAAGGCAGTTAGGGGTATCCAGGCTCCCCAAACGGGGACTCTCACCACAGAACCTGAGGCTGTTCAGGACTAGCAAGAAGGTAGCTAGCTGTCCACAAGCCCTCCCGAGGACTGGGCCTTGATGCTAGGACTGTGAGGAATTTAGCGTTTTGGAGGCACTCAGTCTGTAGCCGGCACTGCCATGCTGAACCACACAAAATGTTAGTAGTCAGCCACTCCGCATCAGGGCTTAGTTGTGTCCTGTCCATACACGTTTCACTAACTCTGGCGTGGGGGTGGGGTGTGACTGACACCCAATGCCCTTTGCCTTCCTGCAAAACTTGTCTTCTGTATATGTCAGTTATGTCAGTTTAGTTTTACGAGCAGACAAGAATGAGTGTCATTAAACCATATGAAACGATCTTTTAGCTTGTTTGAGACAGGGTCCCACTGTGGCCCAGGCTGGCCTCAGACTCACAGCAGTCCTCCTGCCTCAGTCTTTCAAGTGCTATAATTAGGCATGAGCTGTAATTTAGCATGGTGGAAATGTTTAGCCTCCTGAGGACGGTGAGTCGTGGGGGTTCAGCTGCCCAAGTTGGCAGCTCTCATGCCTGGGAGGGGACTACAGCGCTCTAGGCTGTGCCCGAACAGCACCTCTGTGTGCTCCCTGAAACTTCCCAGTTAAAAATGCTGGGCCCGGGGGTGAATTCTGTGTGGCTCGCCACCTGTAATGCAAAATTGCCAAACAGTTTTGCCCTTTAGAGGTTAAGCTCTCTTGCATGGTTTGTAAGTTGGCCCAGAGGTTCACAGCTGTATCAGCAGCTCCCAGTCAGCACTGTGACTGAGCCTGAAACTGAAACTTAAAGACCTCAGGGTGTTCTGAATGAGTCGGAATGCTCTCTGGAACTAATGCTAACTGAAATGTTTTTACTAGACAGCCACAAAATAGTGCTATAGAAGTATGAAGGGGTCAGGTGTGAGGCCGCACACATTTAATCCCAGCCTGCAGGAAGCAGAGACAGGACAGACTGCATTCCAGGTCAGCCTGGTCTACACAGCAAATTCCCAACCAGCCGGGGCTACATGGTGAAAGCTCATCTCAAAAAACAAGACAAAAATAGCATACATACACACACACACACACACACACACACACACACACACACACGAATGGAGAATGGAATTTGGAATTTAGGAGTTTCCACATGGCCCATCTCATTGGCTCATGTGGGTCAAAACAATCTGTCTTTAATACATCCAAGGGGCTGGGGCCTGCCTAAGCAGTAGAAAGCCCAAATCAAGCACACACACAAAGCCTTAGACCTAGTCCCAGCCCAAACAGCTAACAACTTGAACATGCTCGATAACAGCGCACATTTTGTGCTTCAGGCTTCCTCTTCATCCCTTGGTCTCTTTCTGGAGGGCTTATATCCTGAAGAAATACAAAGGAAGGGTTATGGGTTCAATATAAGGCATTTCTGGAAGCTTTGTCCAAAGCAGTTCTAAACTGACAGGAGAAATTTGCCTCAGAGACCTGAGTTCACCCAGGAGCACCTCTGGGAAGCTGGGTGGCTGTCAGGGTAGGAGGGACACTTTTCATTCAGTGTGGAATCTCCGTCACGTTACTTGAAGTACATTATTTTGTTCCAATAATTGCATAAAACTCAGTGTTTTAAAGTCTGATGTTAGAGCTGGAGAGAAGGTTCTTGCAGAAAACTCAGGTTCAGTTCCCAGCACCCACATGGCAGCTCATAACCATGTGTAACTAGTTGGAAGGTTGTGGGGGGAGGGGTTCCATCATCATCTTCTGGCCTCTACAGGCACAGGTGGTGTATATGCATACATGCCATAAAAAAACCTTAAAGACTGGATTATAAGTATGCTTATGTATCATTTAAATTTTTTACAAATGTATATACACATTAAAAAAAAAAAGAATTTAGTCAGCACTATTTAAACATTATAATGCAGCTGCGATGCTTATCCCTAACCCTAGAACCTAGAGCAGGTGAAGGGCTCGGAAGACACTGGAGCACTAGCATAGCAAGCCTCACATTATCAGAGCTTAAAATGTCCTTGCGTGTGATCTTAAAAGAGAAGTCAGTAGGAAAAAGCACAGGCTGACGTAGCCCTCAGTTACTGCCCTAATCCAAACAGCAGGCACCTCTGTTCACCCACACTGAGCATCTGCCATTCTCTAGATGAGCTCTGACGGCTCAGGGCCCTGTGTCCCGCCTTATACTCTCTGCAGCTGAAATGCCTCACCCTGGCCCGTGATTTTTGCAAAGCTTCGATTTTCAGCAGTCTGTGCAGCCTCCCAAGACCCATCCCTTCCAGGCATCAGGATCCCTGGCTCTCACGACTACCCTTGCTTCACTGAGTGTCAGTGAATTGTGTAGCTGTCATCCTGAGCTGGGAGCTGGCTCTTGGCTACAAGGTCACTGAATAAATGGAGCTTACCTCTGTCCATCACGGGTTTCTTTGCTTTGAGTAATCCTCTGGCTTTATCGTCTTCAGATCCCTCGTGATTGCAATATGAGAAAGACACAGCTCGTTTCTCTGAAAGCAAAAGGATTTTAAGAATGGGGCTGACCTTCAGAGGGACCAACCTGGCTGCAGCCATCTTGAGTTGTTATTACCATGACTGCCCCCTGAGTAAGCCTTGCCTGCCTTCCCTACCATTCTCCAGCCCGCTACAGACAACCACGACCATTAGAGTGGCTGTGGAGCTTTCTGTACAGACCTGGTGCCACCGGTCAGGAATGCGGTAACACCTTCAGTATTTGTTCCCTGAAGTCAGTACTTCCTGCCAGCTCTTCCTTGACTGCCACAGACATTCCTGTCCTCTCACCCAGGTTGCAGGGACACAACAGTCTGGCTGCCACCTTTGGCTGCTGTGTCCCCAGTACACTGGCCCCTGCAGTCCTAACTGGCCTGCCCCAGTGAGGGGCACGTTCCGCCAGGCTCTTCATGCTGGATTTTCCTACAGCGGCCTTCAAATTGGATAAAGACTTACTCCTGAATTTTACTTTTTCATTCCCACTGTGCTTTTCCTTGAGAAATAAATAAGGTATTGGTTTTCTGTTTAAGGGTGAGGGGTATCTTTCTTTTTAAGTTTCAGTAGAAAACTAAAAATCACTTTCACATGAGCTGAATGACGGGCTTGACACATTCTCAGACTGGGCTATTAAGTACCCGGAAGCCTGGTAATCCCATTATTGTGGAGGGTTCGTTTATTTTAGTTTGGTTTTTGTTTGGTTTGGTTTGGTTTTTGAGACAGGGTTTCTCTTGGCTTGCCTGGAACTTGTTAAGTTAGTAGCCCAGGCTGGCCTCAAACTCCTCTCTCGGCCTCCATAGTACTGATGGCGAGCTTGTACCACCACAGTACATGGGACTCATAGAACAGAGTTTACGGTTTCTGGAGAGGTCTTGCTTTCAGTTAACCTTCTCTGCGGGCGAGTGGCCCTCACCCAAGCAGAACGGAAGGAGGTATGTGTTCCACTGTCTTGAGTAACTACTATGAGCAAGATGAGGATCTCACGAAAGCAGAACTAGACTCTGCCCACCAGAGGAAGGTGCCACGCCGGCACTGGCTTACTGTGGGCTGCTCCCTGGCCATGGTTTTTAGTGGTAACCAGGCCGGAGGCTTGGCCTTCCTCATCTTCTGCCTTCTCTTCTTTCTCTCCCCACTTTTCTTCCTTGTCATCATCATCGGGCTCCCGGATAGTGAAACTTGGAGCTGGACCCCACTTCTTCCTCGGCAGACGGACACTCCGGCGAATAGACGCTCGCAGGCATTCTCTTTTCTGTATTTAGGGAGAGAGGGAGAGAAGGGAAAACGTTCAGTTTACAACAAAGGACTACGTTTGGCAGGATGGAGTAGCCACGCACCGGTAGTGAGGTCTGAGGCAGGAGGATATCTCAAACCAGGAGTTCAAGACTAAGACTAGTCCATGCAACATGGTAAAAGTCTCTCCAACAGAAAAGGGGAAAGGCAGGAAAGGGAAAAGGGAACTGGCTTCTCTTTGTACCCATTTGGCCACTTTTAAAGCAGTTTGCTGCCCTGTGCCTTCTACCTGCATTACTATAACTCCACACAGCAGGTGGCTGGATGCAGGAGGGACGGCTGAACTAGCACAGGCCTGCCCCCGGGAGCTGTGTACATCCTCTGCTGACCTCAGCCACGGCTCGGAAGTGGCCGGTCTGAGAAACCCCTTCCAAAATGACCCTTTGGGGCAGTGGGGGCTGCCTGTTCTCATCCCTAAGCCGCAGACCCCTGACCTGCTGAGGTGCCATCAAGCTGCCAAGCTTCACAGACATTCCTAGTGCGGCCTTCAGTGCAAATAACATACCCCCGCTTCCACATCAGGCTGCCGGGACTGCCAACTTCTTAGAACCGCCCAGCATGCCACACTGAGGAGTTAAAGGAGCTGAGCGAGCGTCAAACGAGTCACGTGGTTCTAGATTCTTCTTTTCTTTGCGTGATGTCAGGAATGAAACCCAAGGCCTTGGACATGTGAGGCCAAGCATTCTGCGACTGAGCTGTGTCCCCAAGGCAGAGGCTGTGCTCTTTTCTAACACAGTTTTATGTGTGAAGGTTTTTCTGTGGAGCCCACGGACAAGAGTGAAATGACCTGTCATCTCATAGCAGCCTAGAGGCAGAAGAGTGAGCTGGGTCCCCAGTAAATACAGCAAATAAAAGAGAGTGACACTAATAATGAACTGGAGCAACAAGAAGTCTCAGCGGGTCAAAGCTTGCTGTGCTATAATCTAACAACCTGAATTCAGCCCCTGGGACCCACGATGAAGGGAATAACAAACTCCTAAAAATTGTCCTCTGACCTCCACACGTCATGGAATGCACACTTCCACACGTTAAACACACACACACACACACACACACACACACACACACACGGAGGGTAACAACTTTTAAGTTCGGGAAAACAGCACTAAACATACCAAAGTCCCCAACATAAAGCATACACAATGTACCTTGATCAAGTCCGCGCGTGAACACTCAGGATCACGACCAGCCATCGGCAAGATTCTAATCTGTGTCTTTGGACTTCTGTTTCCGAACGAAAGGGTCATCTTTTTATACGAGGCACTGTCTGTACAGTGAGGTCTGCCGGGAAATGAGCAGAAACATTTGTCAAGAACACCAAACGCACTCACGGGTGATAATGGCCTCCCAGTAGGCCGAGGAAACAGGCAGGACCTCAGTTCCCGCTCTGTCTGTTCAGTGCTCAGGAAAAGTGGAGTGGTCTGACCCAGGGTGCAGGGGGAGGGGTGGGCGGGCAGCCAGATGGAGGGCTTTTACAAAGAATACCCCCAGCTATGTTCACAGACGGGGGGGGGGGAGGGGGGGGCAGAAATCTCAGTTCCACAAGGGTGGAGCATGCGCCAGCAGGAACATTTTGAGAAGTAAAAGTTGGTCCCTCCACTCACTAAAAGCAGAAGGACGATTTAAAAAAGTAAGTGGCCAAGTGTATGATCCTGTCTCAAAAACAAAGCGAGCCACAGCGGCAGGCAGGAGGGGCTTCAACGGCTCAGGACCACACCGGAGTTTCCGCAGGAAAACAGCCTGTAACCCACCACTCCGGCAAAGGCAGGACTACCGCAGGCTTGAGGTGAAGACGAACAGAGAGTTCAAAGCCAGCCTGGGTCACAGGGCAGGACTGTCTCCGACAGTGCTTCCTGAGGGTAGGAAGACAGCTCTTCACCGGGTCCCAAAGACTGAAGAGAGGACCTAAGGAAAGAAACTGCCGAGCAGTCAGATACTACCCCAGTGCGGCTCAGAGCAAGTCAAAAGCAAAGACAGAACCGCTCGTTTCAGGAGACTTCTTCTAGAAGACATCTGTGAGAGGGAAGGTTGCGCTTCACTCACTGTGCTGGGTTTACCAACCTATTTAACACAACAGCCCCATGACCCATACATTTTATAGCTAAGGAAACTGCAAATCAGTGAGACTGAGCCCCTCTAAGACTATACAACCTTCCACTGGTTGCAGACTTTTAAAAAAAGTTTATTAATAGTATCCATACAATGGTCCCTTCTCTTACGTATGTAACTGGTTCTTTTTTCGTTTATAAAGTTGCACAACCATGACCACAATCTGATTTTAAAGTACGCCAGCAGGCTAGAGAGATGGCTCAGAGGTTGAGAGCACTGGCTGTTCTTCCAAAGGTCCTGAGTTCACTTCCCAGCAACCACATGGTGGCTCATGACCATCTGTAGTGAGATCTGGTGCCCTCTTCTGGTATGCAGGCAAACATGCAGGCAGAATGCCATACAAATAATAAATCTTTAAAATATATATACACATCAGCAGCTTCAAAGGAAGTGTGTGTCCACTAGCATGGAAAGTGCTGTGCCTCTCAAGGGAAGCTGGATCCTAGTCACAGGTGTGTCCGTAAGGGAACCGTCTTCAGAAGGGGCCGAGGCACCACCCACTGCAGCCAGCAGAGTGGGCCCCATGAACTGAGCGGGCCCAGGCTAGAGCCAATTTGGTCACCCTGATTTGTAAGCACACATCAGCATCACAGCTGGTAGTTTCACTGAAGGGTAAGAACACACCAAACAGCAGGCCTCAATGGCAGGCCTTTCCAGGTGCAGAGCAGTGAGAAGCCAGGCACCAGGGCTTCCTGACTTTTCATAGCACAAGCTAGTGCCCTGAGAGGCTTGAGGTTCACTCTAAACACCTGTCTTGGAACCTGATGTGGTTGTTGGTGAGCTGCCCTGTGCAATGGTTGTTGCTCAGAAGGATCAGGCTTTCTGCATCACAGCTCTGCTTTGTTCTTCGACATGTGCATACAGGAAGCTACCTAAAGGGCCAGGCAGTGGTGACCCACTTCTTTAATCCCAGCACTCAGGAGGCAGAGGCGGGCGGATCTCTGTGAGTTCAAGGCCAGCCTGGTCAACAGAGGGAGTTCCAGGACTTCCAGGACTGCCTAGGGAAACCATGTCTCAATAAACAAACAAACAGACAGACAGACAAAAAAAAAAAAAAAAGACAACAGCAAAGTTACCTAAAGGTAAGTCTGGAATTAAAGATGGCCTGTCCTCGGAGACCGGTGTCTTCCCGTACAAACAGCTGGTTGTGACTGTCCTGCAGTGGGACCTTGTGGACATCGAACACTTCATTGCCTATGTGCAGGGACATGCTGGAGAGGAGTAACAATTCGGGTAACGGGATGCAGAGTGAGTAGCATAGGATCCTGTCCTCATATAGAATTCAGAGAAAAACTCAAAAGGACGCTATCGATAGCCTGCTTCCAAGCTGGACATGGAAATGTTTGCCTGTGGTCCTAGCACTTGGGAGATAAAGCTCATGGTCACAGGCTCAGGGTCTGCTACAAAGTGAGTTCTGGGCCTGCACCCTGTTGCTTGTATTTGTTTGTTTGTTTGTTTGTTTGTTTGTTTGTTTGTTTGTTTGAGACAATGTAGCGTTTATTGGCCTGGAGCTCAATGTGTAAGCCAGACTGGCCACTGACTTACAGAGAGCAGCCTGCCTTGCCTCCCCAGGGCTAGGATCAAAGATGTGCTCTATACCACAACAGGTGAGATCCTGTTCAGATGTTTGAGTATTTGACCCCAGCTGTTGCTGTTTGAGTAGGTTTAGGAGGTGTGGCCTTGCTAAAGACAGTATGTCATTGGGAGTGGGTTCTGGGCTCCAATCCCAGTTAGCTCTGCTTCCTGCTTGACTTGGGAGACATGAGCTCTCATGTTCCTACCACCAGGCCTGCTGCCCATTGCCACTGTTTCTGTGATGGAATCCTAGCCCTTTGGAGCTGTAAGTCCAAATAACTTCTCCTATAAGTTGCCTTTGACACACTAAGATGTGCTTCCGAGTAAAAAGTGGTAAAATCTCCTTTTCAGCTTGCAGTAGAACTGTCTTATAATACCTTCCAAACTATATCTTTAAATTTGCAAACAAGTTCTCAAATATTTCAGTTTAGGGGTTGGGGCTCTAAACACTTGACTTTTGAACAGCCAACACTGGCTTTCAACCCCAGCACTGGCAAGAAGGGATATTTCAAATTATCCTGACACTTCAAAGGTTAGCCTTTTAGCTAACAAGACAGAAAAAAGGGGATCTGATGAATAGAGCCAGATCTAAGCTCGCCCCTGAGCCCAGCTGTAAGCCCAGCCTTAACTGCTTCTCTCAGGTTTCCTAGGTAATGGCAGCAGCCCAGATTTTCTTAGTTAAGTCCTCACAGCACATGTGAACTCATCCAGGCCTCCCCAAGTGTCCCAACGCTCACCTTCCATCTGACCACTTGACTACCCGAGTGTTGCTTTCTTTAACTTTATAACCTTCTTCATCCTGGCATACCCTCCAGCGGATAGTATTTTCCACCTGGTTTGAAAGAAAAAAGGTATCAGACAACCGTAAGTAGCTGTATGTTTTTGTTCCTCAAATGATTCCTGATGCCGGGAAGTGATGAGTGGTAAGAAAGTGGCCGACTCGGCAGCACCGTCACCCATTTACTTACTACAGGCGTCTGGGCGTGCTGGTTAGGCTAACCAGGCCTTCTGTCTACTCTTCCCTAGGCCCGGGTCTGAGCAGAGGGAGGAGGCTAGGCAGGACGCAGCCTGTAGCCCAGCTAAGCGCTCCACAGGAAAGCAGAGAAGCTTAGTCCACCGAGGTAAGGAGCTGAAATCGACACCTCCGCTGATGGTTTAGCACAGTGCTAGACCACCTGCCTAGCACGTGACCCAGTTCTATTCCCAGCACTGTCACACACACACACACACACACACACACACACATACACACACACACTTTCTTTGCAGGCTCACTTGAAGGACTGTGGGCCCAATGGGAAGGGGGAAACTTTAAAAGTGTCGCCTAGGAAACACGGGCCACAGAATCAATCAACCAGGCAGAGCTCACAGGGGCTCACAGAGACTGAAGCGGCCACCACAGACCCCGTGTGGGTCCGGCCTAGGTCCTCTGCATATACTTTCTGGTTATGTAGCTTGGTGTTCTTGTGGGACTCCTAACAGTGGGCGTGGGGGTGTCTCTGATTCTTTGCATTTGGGACCCTCTTCCTCCTACTGGGTTGCCTCGTCCAGCCTTGATACGAGGGTTTGTGCCCAGTCTTACTGTAACTCGTTATGTTGTGTTCGATTGACTTCCCTGAGAGGCCTGCTCTTTTTAATTTGAAGGGAAACAAAGGAGGGGTGGGTTTAGCTGGGGAGGGAGGGAAGTAGGAAGAGCAGAGGGAGGGGAAACTGTGGTCAGGATGTAATGTGTGGGTGGGGGAGAATGACCTTCCCCCTTTCCCAAAAGCAGGGGTGGGGTGTGGGGGGTAGGCGGTGACATGGCTCACTGATAAAGGCACTTGCTGCCAAGCCTGACTCCCTGAGTTCGATCCCCAGGACCTACACTGAGGGAGGAAAGCTTCTTCACATTGTTTTTTGATCCACGTGCATATACTTGGGCACACTCTTGCACACACATAGAAATGTAATTTTTTACAAGGAAAAAAAAAAAAAACCTGTTTCTTAGTCTAGTAAGGTAAGATCCAGACGTGACAGTCTGGTTTTTTAAAAGACTAGATAACTAGAAGCTAGAGCGATGGCTTAGCAGTTGAGAGCACTTGATGTGGTCTGCCAAGAAGGCTCAGAGGTTAAGGGCACTGTCTGCTCTTCCAGAGGTCCTGAGTTCAATTCCCAGCAACCACACCGTGGCTCATATCCATCTATAATGAGGTCTGGTGCCCTCTTCTGGGGTGCAGGCATACATGCAGGCAGAACACTGTATAAATAAATAAATTTTTTTTAAATATATTTTTTTAAAGAGCACTTGTTGCTTTTCCAGAGGACCCAAGTTCAGTTCCCAGCACCCATCCATGTTGGGCAGTTTCACAACCATCTATAACTCCAGTTCAGGGAAAATGACACCCTCTTCTGGACTCTGCAGGTACCCACACACATGGTACAGAAACACAAACATACTAGTAGTAATAATAATAATAATAATAATAATAATAATAATAATAATAATAATAGTCTTTAAGACTAAATCTGAGAACTATACTTAGCTCTGTTTGAGTCCAAATTTATCTCATGAGGTAGAGAACTCCAAGTCACAAAGACCACTAAAAATGGCCCATGTCTAGAATTACCACCCAACTGAGAAGGCAACATCCCAGCATGAACAATGGTAGTGTTTTGTTATTCTGGGTATTCTCAGGAGAAACCCCTATTGGCAAGGTCTGCTGTTGTGCATGATGTAAGTCTCCATGTAGAGCCATCCTGGCCTGGGAGGTTGCTAGGATATGCCTGGGAGGAAATGTGGAGGCAGGTCTATACCTCTCACAACACTGTTTACCCTGAGGGAAGCTGATGGTGTCAACAGTTCCTACGTTCATCAGTTAAAACTGAAAACTGAGATTGGGCTGGTGGCTCACACCTTTAAAATCCCAGCTTTAATCCCAGAACTCAGAAGGCAGAGGCAGGTGGATCTCTGTGAGCTTGAGGCCAGCCTGGTCTACAAAGTGAGTCCAGGGCATCCAAAGCTACACAAAGAAACCCTGTCTCAGAAACAAACAAAAAAGATTCTTAAGATCAGGTCTAACATCATCCCTGTGTTTACCATCTAAAGGAGAAACCTAAAAGGCTGGAGAAATGCCTCTGTTGGGAGTTGGCCAGATGCTTGCATTTTGATGCTAGTTACTGACCCTCAAGATCTGGTTACTGCCTGAACACACCTATCCTTGTTGTGTAAACCTGCCTAAGACACTATACCTGATCGGTTGATTAAAAGCCTAAAACCTGGGCAGGGGAGAGTGGGGTAGTTGTGGCTAAGGTTCAAGAGAATCACAGGAAAGAGACAGACGGGAAGAGGGAGGAGGATGCCACGATGGGTTAGCATGGAGAAGGAACCATGTGGGCTGGGAGGAAGGACTCCAAGAATGGCATGGAAAGGCCCTAATGAAAAATATAAGCAAGTATTTATAAGATTGTGGATGGAAGGTAGGCCACAAAGGAATGCATAGGTGGATGGCATTGGATGGGAGCTGGGAGGTGGATGATGAGGTTATTGAGATAGTGTAGGTAGATTATCTGCCCAGACCAAGGTAAATAAGGCAATTATAAAATTTAACAGGTGTCTGTCTCTTATTGTGATAGTGGGTTAAATAGTACTGCCGTTAAAATTATAGCCTAATAATAAACATTTATTAGGCCACACCCTTTAACTTTACAACAACATGATTCGTTTCAAACAAAAATGAAAATCCCAACCGTTCTATTTTACCAATGAAGACTCGGGAACCAGGTGCTGGGGTGAAAACCTGCTAGCTCAGAGAGGCAGATAAAGCACCCAGCTGACCTCAGATCCAGAGGGAAAAAACCCAAAAGGTTCACTAGCTCAGCCTGACAGCCCAGGAGGAAAAGGCCAAAAAAACCCAAGGCCAAAGGCTTGCTAACTCAAAGCCCAGAAAAAGCCAGGGAGCTGAGGAGCTGAAGCAGAAGCTAAAGCCAGAGCTTAAGCTAAGGGTTCTTCCTATTTCTCCATGTTGTCTTAAATAGCCCTCAACTCAAAGTCCCTCCTTTAATCCCTCTCAACTGGTTTCTTGCTCCACCTCTTGGCCTAGGGTTAACTTTATTAAACCCTGTGTACAGAAAGGTCTTAAAGATGTATGCTAGGGCTGGGTGAACCTGTTTACAATAAAAAGTTCTTGGATTAAAGGTGTGTGATAGGGCTCAACCACACCAAACAAGAAACAGGGTTTTTACAGTTCAAAATTTTAGGGTTCACACCTATTGTGAACCCTAAATATCCTGCAAATATCCTGCAACACCTCATGGTTAAAAGCACTTGTTGCTCTTTTGGAGGATCCAGGTTTGGTTCCCAGCAGTTGCAGAGGATCCGCAGCCGTCTTCCAACATCTGCAGGGACCAGTCACAAACATAGTGCACATACACACATGAAGTCAATGCACTCACACACGAGTCAAATACATCTAAAGCAAGCAAGGACTCAGCCCCGCACGGTGGTGCGTGCCTGTGGCCACAGCTCCTCAGAAGGCTGAGGTGAGGGAGATGGGGGAACCAGGGAAAAAGGAATAGGAAAGAGCAGAATACCTTTATTTTTAACCTAGTTTTGTCTTCCTCATAAAGCACTTTCTCATTTCCACATTCATCTTCATACAGCTGAGGATCAAAGGGTCTAAAAAATGTTGCCATATTAATCATAATTAGTGATTGACTGATTGACTCTGTAAACCAGTTGTCTCTACAACATTATATCGCTGCTGACAAATGACTTCACAACAACCCTCAGGAAGTATGCCAAAGACTACTTTCTTGAAATTTCTTTTTTAAAACAAACTTCCTGAAATAAAATCCAAGACATAAATAAATAAAATAAAATCCAAGCATAGCTCGGAATTCTAACTCTTTGAAGAAGCACATTGTATGCATATAGATACATCTTATAAAACATGGGTAAAAATCTGCTCTAGCCACATTCTAAAAAACCAAGACTATTGCAGTGCTGCCCGAAGGGCTGTGAACCCAATGAAAGGCTTCAAAAGTGTCCCTTGGGCCAGGCATGGCGGCTAGCTACATGCCTTTAATCCCGGCAGAGGCAGGAAGATCTCTGTGCGCTCAAGACCAGCTTATTCTATGTATGGAGTTCCAGGCCAGCCAGGGCAACATAGTGAGACACAAAAAAGTCCCTTACCTTAATTAGGCAATATCTGGGCCTTATATTTTTAAAGAATAAATAAATAAATAAAAATTAACAGCAAATTAAAACCTTGAGGCCTCAGTTTAGTTCAGGGGTTAAAATTTATCTTGTGGAGTGCGTGCCTCTCTGCACCTTGGGGAGCAGGAGGAGCCAACACTATCTTGTCATCAAAGTCATCTGGTCCGGATTCGGCGTCCCTTACATCGAGCACCTGTGCTTTCTCTCTCACTCTGTGTTTTCAGCTTTACATGAGCGACAGAGCCACATGACACCTGTCCCTTTACAGCAGATCACCACTCTGCTAGCTTCTAAGTCTCTCCGGTTGCATGAGAAACCCCTCAGCTTAGGACTGACCAGCTCATGACAGAGAATTCACATTTTAGAAGTCCGGTTCTCTTACTTGGGTTCTATCCTGAGAAATTTGGGTAGCTTAACAAAAAACAGTTCATTTCCCAAATCGGAGGTGATGCTGGGAATTTCTATTTTTATCCTGGTCTCGGAAATCCGCCGTCCCACGCATTGGTTCGGAGGCTCTCCACCTCTGCCCTAAGGGAGGGATCAGAAGTGGGAGAACGTGAAGAGACAGGAAAAGCGGTCCAGCTGGGCTCTGCCTCTGTATTTGGCAGACGCAGGTTTGAAAGGAAGTCATACTGCTCTAGGGACAGTCGTCACTCTGTCCTCCAAGTCTCTCCCTAAAACCTCACCCAACCACACCCACAAATCCCAGCAACAATCCCAAGGGGGATAAGATATATTAACCTGCACTGGTAGGAAAAAAAAAAAAAAAAAGATTTTGTTGGCCTATCTAATTTTCCATTTTGTGTAAGGCATTCAAGAAGTATAAATAGTTCAACCCGTCATTACTAAGTAACTGCTAAAATCGGAAAAGAACACCAACATTCCCTGCACAGCACAGCACAGCACCAGTTCGGACGAGAAAAGCCTTTTAAATAAAGGTGTTCACCTTAACAGTCCTGTCCCTAAAGTTTGCCTTTGGTCCTGTTCTAATGGTTCCTCCCCGGCCTTCTAAATGTTTCCCCAGATGCCCAATTCAGCTAAGAATGTCACAACATCCGCCCTTTGAACACAGCCCCTCTGGACAGGAGAGGCAGCGTCCTTGGTCTCAGGATCTTTCTTCTTTCTTAGCCTTCCATCCTGGGGTCAGCTGTGGCTGGAGGTTGTACTCACGGCGGGCTGTCTGGGACTGGGTCCTCGCTGGTCCTCGTCGCTGCCTGAGGAAATGTCGTTGATATCTCCAAACAGATCCATGGTGATGCGGCAATCTTCAGCGTTGAGGGAAGACACACTGTCAATCGGTCCGACTAAAAGTTATTCTAATTTTTAATTTTCAATCGTGTACACGGGGAGGGTGACACGTGTACGTGGGTGCGGGCGCCCACAGAGGCAGGAGGAGTCAGCTGGAAGTCAGGTGCCCTGGAGCTGGAGTTACACTGGTTGAGAGCTCCCACCCACGTGGTGAAAAGCAGTTGTGTGAGCTAGCTCGGAAACAGCTCCCTTCGGCTGCAGTCGGGCCTTGGGAGAGCACAGCCCCGTGAGAGCATCTGAAGCTCGAAGCTAAGCCATTTCCACGTTCCTGACCCCAAGAATCTGAGGGAGAGATCACTATTCTGTTCTCCGCTGCTGCGCGCTGGGATACTGTCGCGCAGCAAAGACCCCCAACAGTCACCCAAGAAGCGCTTTCTCCCCTCCTTCCTGTATCTTTTCCCCATTCTCCTTATTCTCCGGGGTCCCTGATGGCCTGCCTGAGTCCTGTGCACTCAGAGGATGAGCCACAGCGCCAGCTTTAGCGTGACTGTTACCTTGTCTGGTAAAGAGGAGCAGGAGGCCACCTGACTTTAAACCCTGTCGATAACATTAATCACTGTCCAGATAACAATAATCTCGAAGTTCAGGCCCTCCCTGCAGTTCTTCCACACGCCCTCACCAACTCTGGAAAGCAAGGCTGTCGCCCACGCCTGACACGCTACGGTACACTTACACTAATTGCCTGGGCGCGTGAAGACCAGCACCCTGAAATAGCAAAGTCTTAACAGAACAGCGTTGCCAATAAAGTTACATCAAACTCTAGCCCTGAGATAGAGCCTAGATTTTAAATACACCAAGCTGGGGTTTATTTTGTTCTGTGTTGCTTTTAGCATGTCTGTCTACGGTTGTGTAGATTATGGAGGTCAGGGTACAAATTGCAGGAGTCAGTTCTCTCCCTTAACTGAGTGGCTTCTGGGAATCAAGCTGAGGTCATCCTCAGCCACAGAGCCATTTCAGTGGCCCTACTAAAAAAACCAAGAAGACACAAAAAAACCAAATACTTTGAGTGAAAAAGAACCATACCTCAAAATGTAGGTAATTCAGGTTAACAAGGGGTAATACAAAGTCAACCATTAAACCCAATGATCTGGGTACTTGATTAAAAACCACCAAAACTCACTTAAGAAGAAATAATTAAAACAGCCCTCTTCCTATTAAAGAAACCAAACTGGTAGTTTAAAAACCTAAAAAAAAAAAATGAAAATAAAAATAAAAAATAAAAAACTGGGCATGGGAGCAATGCCTTTAATCCCAGCACAGCACTAAGAGGCAGCGGTGGGCAGATCTCTGAGTTTGAAGCCAGCCTGGTCTACAGAGGGAGTTCCAGGACAGCCAGGGCTACACAGAAAAATTGTCTCCACAGAAACAAAAAACAACCCCTGGGTCCTCGAGGCCCCACTGGGTTTTGAAAGCTGAGCATTAGTTAAGCCTTTCCAAGCCAGTTTAACATGGCAGATGTGAGATGGACTCTTTAAGGCAATTTTCTAGTATTTTACCCTGACCAAAAAAAAAAAAAAAAAGTAAAATGTTATAAACAGGGCTGGGGAGATGGCTCAGAGGTTAAGAACACTGGCTGCTCTTCCAAAGGCCCTGAGTTCAACTTCCAGAGACCACATGGTGGCTCACAACCATCTATAGTGAGATCTGGTGCCCTCTTCTGGTGTGTAGGTGTACATGCAGGCAGGATGCTGGATGGATGGATGGATGGAGGGAGGGAGAGAGAGAGAGAGAGAGAGAGAGAGAGAGAGAGAGAGATCTTTTTAAAAAGACGTTATAAACATTTCCTAAATCGTTTTCTAAAAATGTGTTGGCAAATCAGACATGGTAGCACACCTGAAATCTCATCTCTCGGGAAGCTGAAGAAGAGGGGTTGCCAAGTTTGGGGGCCAGTCTGGGTTATATACTGAGAACTGTCATGAAAATAAGAAAAAAAGGGGGGGGGCATTGGTGGTGACATATGCCAGTAATCCTAGCAATTAGGAGCCTAATACAAAAAAATAAGTAAGTTCAAGAACAGCATAGGCTATACAGCAAAACACTGTCTAAATAAATAAAAATTTAAAAAGAAATAAAAATCAAATACATCGAAAGTTACAATTAGGCTTAAAGTTGTTTGTTAGATTACTAAAAAAAATATAAGAATTTTAATTAGAAAGAGGTAAATTCAGAGAACAACTTTCAAACCCAGACCTGGGAAAACATAGAATTATTAGATTTAAATATTTAGCTAGCCATGCAGCCTGTGATCCCAGCACTTGGGAGACAGAGGCAGGAGGATTACTATGAGTTAGAAGCTATCCTAGGCTACAGAATTAGACTTTGTCTCAAAAAAATAAAATAAAATGAAATGAAACGCCTGGAGAGATGGCTCAGCGGTTAAGAGCACTGGCTGTTCTTCCAGAGGTCCTGAGTTCAGTTCCCAGCACCTATATGGTGGCTCACAACCATTTATAATGAGATCTGGAGCCCTCTTCTGGTGTGCATGAAAACAGAGCACTCATGCATAAAATAAATAAAATATTTTTTAAAATAAAATAAACAGCCAGGCAGTGTGGTGCATCTGAAGGCAGGTGGATCTTTGAGTTTGAGGCCAGCCTGGTCTATTGAGAGCGAGTTCCAGGACAGCCAAAGATACACAGAGAAACCCTGTCTCGAAAAAAAAAAAAAAAATTTTTTTTTTTTTTCAAAAACACAGAATTTAAATATAACTAAAAATAAAACAAAATAGCCACCCATACAAACAAACAAACTTAAAACAGCTCGGGAAAGTGGCCCTGAGGAGCCAAGCATGCTTTCGATGCCTGTAATCCCAGAGCTCTGCAGGCTGAGGCAGGAGAGCCTTCAGGGGACACAAAGTGAGACTGTCTCAGAGAACACATTTCAAAAGTTGCCCTATACCTGAGGAAGGCAGCTGTCCGCTGGCCTGGAGAGTCTGGGTGCACGCCGGGCTTAGCTGCTGTGGGAAGGGACTGGCTCTCCTGAGGTGAAGAGCTGCTGGTGGACCCCTCACAGGAACGCCAAGCCAACAGGAAGCCCCCAAACAGGAAGGAGCTACCCTCTCGGCTAGCCAGCCTTCCAGGCTCCCTATAGCGCCCCCAACAGGATGGCTGGCAAAGGAGACCACAACATCACACAAAAAAAGATGGCCTTACAGACAGAGGTTGATAACTCACGCTGCCCTGGGGAGGGTGGAGGCAACACAAGGGCTCTTAAGCCAGGCAGAAGACAAGACAATGCAGCCAGTCCTGATGAGACCTGATAGACTAGGATCAGAAGGAAGGGGAGGAGGACCTCCCCTGTCAGTGCACTGGGGGACGGGCATGCGTGGAGAAAGGGGGGTAGGATTGGGAGGGGAGGAGGGAGGGAGCTACAAGGGAGATACAAAGTGAATAAATTGTAAGTAATAATAAAAGTTTCAACTCGGTAAGCCACAAACACACAAAAACTTAAATTCTAAGTTAGGGAAAAGGGTGGGATGGTGATTCAGGATATTTCTTTTAAAAAGTTACCGTATACTCTAATCATGGAGCTATACCTCAGCGCCTGGAAAGCAGTATTTTAGAGCTCAAACCACAGAGGACCCAAATTCAGTTCCCAGCATCTACATCAGGCTTTTCACCACCACCCGTAACTCCTGCTGCAGGGGATCTGACGCCCTCTTTTGGCCTCCTCAGGTGCCCACACACGGCACATACAAACATAAATGAAAATTTTAAAACTTGTTAAGTATTTTGTTCATTTTACATTAATTTTTAAAAAGTGCACGTCTTGCTGTAATAACTCAAGCAGGTTGACTGGAAACCTGCCCCCAACACAAATTCACGTCTACACAGAAACTGAGGATGTGACTCTATTTGGCATAGGTTCCCGTGGAAATAATCCATGAAAATGAGGTCATGCTGGACTTCAGTTGGTCCTCTGGGTAGGGGTTCTTGTTCTTGCCAGCAGAGAGAGTGCTGCACACACCAGCACGGGTGCACAAGAAAGCACGCCATGTTGACAAGCGGGAGTCGTGCTGCCACAGACAAAGGATTCTGGGAAAGGAAGGGAGGATTCTTGGGAGGGAGTGTGGCCCTGCATTCATTGTGATTTCAGACCTACAGATTCTCCAAAGGTCTGGGAGGGAATACATTACTACAGTTTTATTTTATTTTATTTTATTTATTTTATGTATTTGGGTGTTTTGCCAGTGTGTCATGTTTGTGCATTGTGTTCGTGTCTGGTGCCCAAGGAGACCAGGAGAGAACGTTAGGATCCTGTAATGGAAGTTTTGGTTTCTCTGTAAACTCAGTTATGTTAATGAAAATATGTTTTTTGTTTTAATCCCAGGTGTGGGATTTTAGTTTGAGCTTTATCAGTTATCAGTCCACAGCTGATAACTGCCTTCTCCTGGGCGTGGTCTTTGCCAGCTGGTAAGGGCCTGCCTCTTGTAGCACGGAGAGGGGCGTGGTCTAGGACTCAGAGGAAGATAAATAGGGGGATCAGGAGAGAGAAGTGGTGGCATGAGGTGTGGCAGTTTGGGGAGGCCAGAAACAGACAGACAGAGTGGTGGTTTGGATCAGAGATAGGACACACACACACACGCTTCATGGAGCAGTGGCTTGGAGGAGAGTACTTGCTGTGATGGAGACTGGTATAGCTTTCAAAAGAACCCATCAACCCTAAACGGCTGGGAGAAGAAAGGGGTCTGCACGCCCTCTCCCCACTAATCTTCTCTCTTCTACCTGGGGTCGGGGTGATGGAAGGGAGAGGCTTTAAGGAATCCCAAATAAAACAGTTTTAAGTAAAGACGAGTGCTACAGGGTCCCCTGGGCCAGAGGTTGCAGATGTTTGTAAGCTTCCCCCATAAGTGTTGGGAATCAAACCCTGGTCCTCTGGAAGACAGAACTCTTAACTGCTAAGCCATCCCTCCAGCCCAGGCATCACTGTTTCAAGCCAACATG